GGATATTGTTCATTCAAGTGGTTTCTAACGTTTAAAAAAAAATGTGGTGGAGTTCCATCTTGCATAAACCACATATCTCTCCGAAGTTGGAGAGGTAAATCTTCTAACAATTCTGGCAACGTATTTTGTAGAAAATCCAAATAATTTTCTCCAGTTAATCTTCGTGGAAGTATGACAGGACCAACAATGAAATTACCAATTATTCCAGCCCACACATTAATTTTGAATTCGTGCTGAAAATGGTTTACCTTTATTGCATGCGGATTTTCAACGTCATAAACATGTTCATTATGGGTATTAGTTATACCTCTTCTTGTAAAATCCGCTTCATCGGTAAAGAGAACCTTCTTGACAAAGTTTGGAACTCTTTCTCTTTGCATATTTACAAATCGACAAAAACCCAAACGAATTTGAGGATCATGGACTAGTAATTCTTGTGCTGGCTTCTTATGGTATGGATATAGCAATTTTATTGTTCTCTAAGCACTTTATGAACGACATCTTTACTTACTCCTAGTTCCCTTCCAATTCGTTTGGTGCTTAATTCTGGATCTTCTTCAACACGTTCTAAAAATGTCTTCTTCAACTTCAGGAATCCTTACAAAAAGTTCTCTTCCATTATCAACAGTGTTGGGAGCAAAGGAACCGGGCTCCCGAAGACGTCTCTCAACAGCAGCAAAAGTTGGGTGGCTAGGTACACGACGATTTGGAAACCTTTCAGAGTACACGAGTACACCCTGACACTCTCTCGAGCATTTCCTTCACAAAATCCTAATGTCAATAACATATCGGTATATTCTGCATTGGTATATTGTACAGCCATATTAATAAACCACGCATTTGTTTTTTTAATTATTGAGTCAGATAGAAAGAACACTTTCAATCGTTAACAAGAGATTAGGTGTTAAAACTTGACAATATTTTTATTTAGATGAAACTATGGAAACCAACAATAAATGTTTTTGTATACGTATTGCAGGCAAATAATTAATATTCCTCAAAAAATCGTACATGGCAAGAATCGAGTATTTTTGTTAAAAGTTTCGATTTTAGGTGTTGAAGAAGATATGAAAAAGGTACATTTTTATGTTTTCATCGTATAAAATTTTGTCCGATAATAATACATAGGCGTAGAACTTGATTTTTAAATAATTGCACCTTTAAAAATTCTACGCCAATGGCAAAAAAGGGGTTTGAGTATGAAATTTGGATTGGGTACTCATTTACTACAAAAAAGTACCCTTGATAACACTCGATTTACTCTCATGGTTTTGACAAAGTTTGTATTTTAATAATTATTGTTTATGTTCTAAAATTACTAAAATGCAAATTTCGTCAAAACCATGAGAGTAATCGAGTTTTATCAAGAGTACCTTTTTTAAAGTAAATGAGTTGCGCAATCTAAATTTTATACTCAAACTACTTTCCTTCCATTGGCGTAGAATTTTTAAAGGCGCAATTATTTAAAAAATCAAGTTCTACGCCTATGTATTATTATCGGACAAAATTTTAATACCAATTTTTTTTCCACTTAAAACTCTACCAATATACCAAATTTCAGCAAAATCGCATATGCCGTTTTAAATTTATATGGGAAAAACGATTTAAAAATTGTAACTTCAAGGCCCTCTGGAGCCCAAACGAAGCAACTTTGTACTAAGGTAATTTTATTTAAATCGACTTATTTTGGTCTAAGGAATATGTGGTATGTTTTTGTAGAAACCTTTTACAGACACCCTGTATAATAAAAAATTGGAAACGTATGTTACCCCAGATTGGTTCAGTGCAAACCATTTACTAATAAATAATATCTTAAATTAAACCTTAACAATTATATTATTCAGTAACAATGTGGCATCCAAATGCAAGAGTTAGAAAGCTACTTGGTGTATTATTGATTGGAGGATAATATGAATTTTGTCTTTAACATTTTCGTTATTTACTAAAACATGCCATACACTTTTGTTCATTCCTATATAGACAAAAGAAAATGTAATATATTACAGATAATATGAATATTATCGAGAAGCTTGGGTTTAGCTATGTCCATTTTATGGAAAAGTCTTGTACCTATATCAAGTTGATCAAACAGAGCTTGAGTCATTTTTAAAAGAATAGTAGTTGCAACAAGAGTGGATATGTTGGCCATATCGAACGAAGATACGATTTTTCCTGAAATATTCAAGTTAATATAATTTATCGTTTTTGATTTATCGTGCTAACAATAAACATGACATCGGACGGTCAAAGTAAACCTATAATATTATTCACAGACTACTGTGTGAAGAGTATAATAATAGTTTATTATTATTTACCATATGAAAAAAAAGAAGATATTTAACCTAATTCTAAACCTTTACTTTTTACTAATCTAAATAAATTTGTATAAGATATTACAGTTCTGTTCTTTAATGAACAGATTGCAACCAGGACACATAACAGCCTTTGGGTGTTCTGCAAGATTCTGCTTCCTCTTTCCCTCAAAAAAAGCAATTTTTAGAAATATTACTTACCGATTTCACAAATGATATTTAAGAGAGGACTATGCACCTTTAAAATTGTACTTTTATTTAAACTGCAATTTGTATCATTAGACTGCAATCCGGCAATATAAAAAATTCAGACTGCAGTTTACCCGCACGATTACTAATATATAAAATAAAAAATTGCCCTCAGCCGGAATTTGAACCCCGGGGTAGTATTCTCGAATGTCAAATACCTCGATTCGCATGCGAGATTAGTGAAATGTCGAATAGCAACTAGGTGATTTTAAAAAAGTGTATTCTCGAAAACAGCATACGAAAAATGTCAGGAGAATTCAACACGAGTGATCTAAAGTGCTCGAATTTAAATTCGTATGCGACTTTGTGGACCGTAAAGATGAATAAGGCAGATTTTGATGAAATTATTATTTACTGGCTGTTGAAAATCAAAACATTATTAAGTGACAGCATAGAAGGAAGAAGTTTGTTTATAAAAATCCCTTTTGAATGAATGATGTGTCATGTATCCGGCATTTTCGACTTTCTAAGGAATCAATCTTGATAGATATTGAAACTAGCATATTATAACGCCCTCAAGTAAAGTATCAGCAGGATGTTTTCTGATTTGCATTGCAATATTGGTGTTCTTCCATATTTATATAAAAAAAATCGCAGTTCAAAGAAATTCTGCTATTTGTTTCAAAATTGTCTAAATTTTTTAGCATAGATGCGTTCTAATAAATAAACAGAACATCCACTAATGTTGACAGATGGGATAGTTTCCTACGTTGCCACATAAAATCCTTCACATTATTTCTCGCTTGTGATTTTAGATTCACTCTTTTTCGAGAATACGATTTTTAACAACTGTGCGAATTTGGTATGCGACATTTTCATGCAACACGGAAAAAAATGTGACTAGAAAATTTTACTACAATGTTGTAGTAGTAGACTTGTAGAAAAATACTTAACAATTTGTAAAAAAATTTACTACAATTTATAGTTAAAAACTATTAATTATTGTAGCAATTGAATTGTCGAATAAAATGCTACAACAATAGGAAAGAAGTCCACAATGTTTACTATATTTTACTATTGTTTGTAGAAGTAGAAATTTATTACAATTATCGTAATTACTAATACTAACTTCTGGAAAAATTTGTACAAATATTAATAATTATCTCTACAAAAAATAGTAATTTTCTCTACAAAAAATAGTAATACTTTACATCCCTTCTTATGAAAAAAATTCAATTTTGTTCAAAAATATTCTATAATATTGTAAAAATTCTAAGTCATGTGAACAAAACAGAATCCTGCTATTGGCCAACGTTTTCTGACGTCGATCATAAATGGCCAGACAGCAGTAGCCGTTCGTCATGTTCACATAACAAATCATGGTACATATACGAGTACCTATAACACATTATTATATTATAAGCACCGATGCGTTTGAGAAAATTTTAATAATAAATTCTATTGGTGGTAAGTACATTTATTATTTATTGTTTCTGAATAATTTACCTTTAGATAACTAATTTAAATTACCTTAGTAGACTATTTTAAAAAATAGTTGTGGCCAACGATCGAATGTTGTGCCCAACGATCGAATTTTGTGCCAAGTTCCATGATGTTTTTTTGTCTTAATTGTGACATACCTACTTTCTCATTTTTGTTAGTTATCTGACTTAGTCATTTAATATCCAAATCAGTGTAAAGGTGATAAATATCCCCGTTTTAAGGGTATGAACAGTTTAATTGGTATTAATTTTTATTTCATATTTTTCAGGTGCAGAAAAGCCAACTGAGACTGAGGGCGCTATTATTACTGTTATTTATTACATAATGTAATTAAGACTTTGTATCTTTTATATTAAAACAATAAATTGAATATTTTATTAAGGAACATTTTTTTCTAGGTTATAATTATAATAATTATGGAATACTACTACAAATTTTATTAAAAATTACTACAATTTCTATGAATTTTTACTATTATTTGTGTAAAATTTTCGTATTTATTTTCATAAAACGCACTACATTTTTAATATAAATTCATACAATGAATAGCAAAAATTATAACAATTTGTAGAACAATTCTTATGATGCATTTGGATATTTTTACTAAATATTGTAGATAATAACTCTACAATACATTCTCCACAAATATTTGGAAATTTTTACTACAAATTGTCCTTATATGTACTATTTATTGTAGAGAAAAAATCTATAATTGTAGAAATTTGTTCTACAATTTTTTTTCCGTGAAGACTCGAGAATTCTACCCCGGGCCTTCGAACGTGAATGCATTATCTTGTGGATCGCCATTGTTTATCGATTCTTCTCAAGAATCACTTATTTTAATCATATTTTATATCAATAACTAAAAATATACTGAAATTAAAAAAAGAAATTTGCACACGATCTACACGCGTCCAATTAAAAGTTTATTAAATAATTCATTTTAAAATAAAGTTTATTCGTTTTACTCTATTTTAAAAACATTTCTTGTTTCAGTTACTTGGAGATTTACAACGAAAAAGTTCGAGATCTTTTATGTCCTAGAGATGACACCAATAAAACCTTGAAAATACGAGAACATCCCAAAAAAGGACCTTATGTACCAGGTAGGTCAATATTATCGAGGTATTGATTGTAGAAAATAAAATAAATATTGGATTTCAAATCTCTCAAATTGCAATATGTAATATAGTTTTTTATCAAGCTAAGGGATGCTAAAATGAAAAGTAACAGAATAAATAGACGATGCTGTAATAAGAAAAAAAGTGTTCTACTCCAAACTAAAATCAATTTGTCCCAGCGTTTTTTTAACATCCACGATATTAATATTCTAGTCAAGTTTTCGTTGAGCCAAAGGACCCCGCCCTTTTCTAATGGCAAAGTGGCGTTCCGTCAAATGTAATAAATTTTGAATATGATGTTGTACTCGACTTGTTAACCAAAAGTGTTCATGGGACCAATTCAATCCTATGACTAGTTTTTAAAATACAAGTCGAGAAATCGTATTTCTTGAAACTACGTAACTTAATTAAAAAAAGAAAAATAAGCATTTTTAGTTGATTGTAGCATTAATATGTCCTAGTCCAACGCAAAAGTACACATAAATAGTTAAAACTGTAAACATATACAGGGTGGTACTCAGTTACATCAGGTGGAATTTTTGAAATTCTGAGAGATTCTGATATGGAATGAAAACATGGTCAAAAATAAAAACTTACATAATGTTTACTGTTCTAACATTATATAAACCTATTTTACATTATATGTATACAGGGTGATTGTTAATTCATTCCACAGAAAGGCGTTTCGTAAAAAAAATTACACTCTGTATAATAGGGAATTTGTTATTAATATTGATTATGCATTTAATACCTAGAAAACAATACTGTTTATGGAATACAGGGTGATAGACACATCTAATTCGTTTTTGATGCAGCAATAATTAAAGAAATATTCCTTTTTCAGAATCACCCTATATTTTTTAATTCGATCCGTCAAAATGTACGAACTATTTATTTTTGTTATTAGCTTTAAGCAATTAATAACTTCATATAATTTCATAATTTTAGTATGATCCGTTTTTGAGATTCCAATATATATATATATATATATATATATATATATATATATATATATATATATATATATATATATATAGTGAACCATTAAATATCAGACAATTCGCACACTGAAATTTTTTATTTGCTGAAAAATTATCGGGGGTAATACCACAAGAACTCAGATTTAGCCGGATAATTTTTGTGGTTATTTTCGAATTCTTACTTTTATTGGCAATTGCCTAATGAAAGTAAGTATGAGAAAACCACCGTAAAAAATATCCTGCCAGATCTGAGCTCGCGTGGTATTTGGTAAGACCATTCCATGAATAGAAAAATCAATTCAATTGAACTTTTTTTTTGTATTTTTCTGGAGTTGATTTTTCAATCTCCCTTACTATTTCTGCCTCGCAAATATTAATAAATCTCGATATACTTACTGAAATATTACGAGGAATATTGATTGCTGTTTAATTCTGTTTTTGATCTTTACAATTGTCAAACTGATGCGACGCCCAACGCTTGATAAACGAACAATAAATGCTACGGTAATGTAATTTATCCGATATTTTTATCCACTTGCATTTCTTTTTCTTCCTATTTAGCCGATAGTAGACTACGATTTTTGTACTCACAAATGGGAATTATTAGACCTACATACATAAGTGGATATGTCTGATATTTTATATGGTTCACTATACAGGGTGTCCTTTAAAATGTGTCCCAAAATTCTCAGGCAGATTCCCTAACCAAAAAATGGAAAAAAAGTTCCTATAGACCTATGTCCTAAAGTGCCCCCTAAGCGAGCAACAGCCTCTCGAAATCATTTTTTTTATTTTGATTTTTTGAATTTTCTTAAAAATGGAAACAAATAAAAGAACCAAATTTTGGCTGTTAAATATGATCAATAATAGTGACCTTTTGACACCTTCAAAAAGAAATTATTTCGTCAGGGGTGTACTTGGGAATTTTTTGAAAATTTTGATTATTCATAACTTTTTTGTGTTTTTGGTAATGACTTATCCATATTTTTTTTACATTCTACATTGAAAACTACGTCAAAAAGGAATACTTGTTTGATCTCGATTGGAGCAGCCGTTTCCGAGAAAACATCATCCAAAGATATTCGTCCACTTTAGCTTAATTTTCAATTTTCCTAAATTACCTCGGTGAATCTCGTAAATAAAAATAACTTTTTTAGCTCTCTCTAAATAATTGTAGTTCAAATGTCGTGGTGGGACTATTTTTATTTAATAATAAGAAACGGTTTAAAAAAATATTTATTCTAAAAAAACAAATCAAAAAAAATTAAAGCAGATGCTCAATGTGGCGACCATTGGTTTCCACACACAAGCGCAACCGTCGCATCATAGACTGTCTTACACGAAAAAATACTTCAGGATTATTCCTAAGAACTTCGCAATGATGAAAAACTCGTTCTTCCAATTCTTCAACTGTTTCAACAGGACTGGAATAAACCAATGATTTTAAATAACCCCAAACAAAAAAATCCATTGGATTTAGATCTGGTGAACGAGGTGGCCAGTTAACAGGACAACCTCTGCCAATTACTATACCCTCAAATCTTTCGTTAAGGTGCTGTCTAGCTTCAAGGCTGTAATGTGGTGGAGCTCCATCATGCATAAACCACATGTTATGTCTGATTTGAATCGGAATATTATCAAGAAGCTCATGTAAGTTATTTTCCAAAAAAAGCCTGTATGCTGCTCCATTTAACCTATTCGGCAAAACAAATGGTCCAATAAGGTAATTATCAATAACTCCAGCCCAGACGTTTATTGAAAATTTATCCTGGTGGTGACGTTCAACAACCGCGTGAGGGTTATCTTCAGCCCATTCATGCATATTTCGAAAATTTATTATACCATCTCTAGTGAAACCAGCTTCATCGGTAAATAGCACTTTATTAAGAAACATTGCATCTTGATTACATCTTCCAAGAAACCATTCAGAAAAGATAACTCGCGGCTCATAATCAGTAGCTTTAAGTGCCTGAACTTTTTGAATGTGGTAAGGGTACAATTGTTGTTCACGCAAAACTTTCCATACCGTGTTACGTCCGACTCCCACTTCTGAAATTAAATGAGAGAATCTGTGTAGTGAATAGTTAAGAAAGAGAATCCATTGATTTGGGAAATCAGATTTTTTCTGCATAACGCAACTCTTTTCGATACGAAAAGTCGTGAAATGTAAGAGAAGCAATAACAAGTAAAAAAACTAGTTTTATACGATAAGGTACGGGGTAGCTAAAATAATAAATAAGTAATTACTTACCATTTGCTATTTTTCTGGTACTTGTCGATGGGGTTTCAGCTACCCTATCCAAAATTGCTTCTTCCAAAGCAGGAGTTCTCACATAATTTTGTCTTCCACTGTTACTAGAGTTTTTCTTAAATGTACCAGTTTCCCGAAGTCTATCGTCAATTCTAGAAAACGTCTTAGCGCATGGAAGATGCCTATTTGGAAAGCGCTCCTGATAAAGTCTGCGAGCTTCATTGGCATTTCCAGAAGCGAGTCCAAAACATAAGTGCATGTCCGTCATTTCGCCGAATGTGTAATCATTATTGTAGTTATTGTGAGCCATTTTAAACAAAATAATAACAATACAACGAATCGCACCAGAACACTTTTAGAAATAATGTTTAACTGAAGAAACATTTTTATCAGTGAGCGAAAAAAATTATCCATGAAACACAAAAACGCCAAAAAAATACATATTTTTACTTTTTTATTCTAAACAGCTAAATACAAACCTTATGGTCTTCATAATAAATAAATGAGAACTAAATTTTTAAATTTTATTTAGAGAGCTAAAAATAGTATACAGGGTGATTGATTAGTGTGAGGAAGCTCTGTAGATCTGTTATAATAAAAGTAGGCAGCTTTAAGCTTCACATTTTAAAATTAGTTACGATGTGACAGGGTGTTTCATAAGGCCGTGCCAAATCAAAGTTATGTTTTTTAAATGGAACACTCTGTATATTTTTATATTTTTAGAATCTGCTCGATAATCTGATTTCAATGATATATCACACTTGTTATCTAATATGAATAGTAAAGGATCTACAGCTACTCAAAAATCACATTTTTTCAAATTCAGGTGGCTGTTGTAGCCAAACAGTTGGAAAACGGCTTACAGTCCCTATCCTAACTTTTTAAGGTCTATTCAGTGACATAAAATACATATTATTTGATACAGGGTGATCAAAAATTCAAAATCACATCCGATTTTTGATCACCCTGTATCAACTAATATTTTTTGCCACTGAATAGACCTTCAAAAGTAAGGATAGGGACATGTAAGCCGTGTTCCTCGATTTCCAACTTTTTGGCTACAACAGCCAAAATTGAAAATTAACCTAAACTGCACGAATATCTTTGGATGATGTTTTCTCGGAAACGGCTGCTCCAATCGAGATTAAACAAGTATTCTTTTTTGACGTAGTTTTCAATGTAGAATGTAAAAAAAAATATGGATAAGTCATTACCAAAAACACAAAAAAGTTATGAATAATCAAAATTTTCAAAAAATTCCCAAGTACACCCCTGACGAAATAATTTCTTTTTGAAGGTGTCAAAAGGTCACTATTATTGATCATATTTAACAGCCAAAATTTGGTTCTTTTATTTGTTTCCATTTTTAAGAAAATTCAAAAAATCAAAATAAAAAAAATGATTTCGAGAGGCTGTTGCTCGCTTAGGGGGCACTTTAGGACATAGGTCTATAGGAACTTTTTTTCCATTTTTTGGTTAAGGAATCTGCCTGAGAATTTTGGGACACATTTTAAAGGACACCCTGTATATTAGAATCTCAAAAACGGATCATACTAAAATTATGAAATTATATGAAGTTATTAATTGCTTAAAGCTAATAACAAAAATAAATAGATCGTACCACCCTGTATATGTTTACATTTTGAACTACTTATGTGTACGTTTGCGATAGACTAGGACATAGTAATGCTACAATCAACTAAAAATGCTTATTTTTTTTCTTTTTAATTAAGTTACGTAGTATATTTTAAAAACTAGTCATAGGATTAAATTGGTCCCATGAACACTTTTGGTCAACAAGTCGAGTACAACATCATATTCAAAATTTATTACATTTGACGGAACGCCACTTTGCCATTAGAAAAGGGCGGGGTCCTTTATTTTTTGGTATCAATTAATGACAAAAATAATTATAAATTGTGTTAAGAAATCAATTGACATTTCATACATAATTTTTTGACTACATACAAAAATCAATTACTTGTTAGACATATTGTGATGTTTGTTTATTTTAAACAACAGTTTATTTATTAATACAGTTCATCAAATTTCTAGAGGTGTTCGACGCCCAGACAGAGAACGCGCTACGTGTGACTAAGATAGCTATTGTACAGTCTGCTAAACAAGTTATTTTAAATAGTTTTTAATATTTTTAGGTAATTAAATTTTAAAAGTGTGGAATAGTTTAGGGATTAAATTGGTCTGATTGGACTTTCTTAGAACGTTTTTAAAAGCAGCTAAAGATAGTATGTAGAATTGAAAATAATTATTATGGCATAAAAGGTGTTTTGGAATTCCTTCAACCTTTTGAAATTGAGTCAGAAAATATAAATTTTATAGGATAGCGGAAAATACCTATAATTTTTTTGTAGGCCTTTGTAAATCGTGGAAATAGTTTATATTTTATTTCTACCTTATTAAGGAAAATGGTACCTATTATTAATAACGGTTGTTTCTGAAACATTACTAAAATTTTCGAAATTTTGTTTTTCTACAAAATAATAATCTATACTATTTAGAAAAAAAATTATTTCTCTTATAATTTTATAAAAAATAACAGGGGAATATTTACATTTCTTGATCTATTAAACAAAACGATAAATTATCTCGACGAATGACACCATGTTCTAGTACGGAAGCTAGCTTTACAATTTTGTTGGTGGTTTCATGGGTTTCATATCAATTTTTTGTAATTGTAGTTTACACGTACATATACCTCTTAACACTTGTTTGCTTTATTAAAAAAGTGTGTTGTTGTGATTTACGTCGAAATAAGTCAAAAACAACTTGAAACCCCATATAAAATCAAAAAGGAGAAACGGAAAAAAATTGAGCCTGTAAATGAACACAACTCAGAAACAAAAATAGCTATCTAATAATAAAAAAATAAAATTTGATTCTTGTGCAGCTTCATCTATATCATTAACTGTTTTTGGTTTTTTAATGGTTTTTCTTGGTGATGAAAATTCCGATATCTCACGGTTATCGATTCTTTTTTTCTCTCCAGAAATGCGGACGACAGTGTTTTTAGATACTCCTGTGGCTGCAGCAACACGATCATTTACATTTTTAAATGGTATTGAAGGTGAATTAAAGTTTCCTTCTTTTCTCATAAACTCTATAACATTGGCTATTATTTCGCGAGATTGACTGTTAATCACACGGCCTCTTAATTTGCTATTAAACTCCATACTTAGGTTCTATTAAACTGTAATGAGCAAAAAACACAAACGAAAATAAAAGAAATGTTTTAGCGAAATTTACATCTGACATTTACGTCTGAATGAAATAGTGAAATACTTGATGCGCAGAGTGTACTTTCATTGCGTAAATCCGTCGGGATGCCTGTCAGTAGTGCTTTCTCTGTCTAGCCGTCGAAAGCCTCTAGAAATTTGATGAACTAATTTATTTAAACACCTATTTATGTTATAACACTACTATTTTAATTTATATATTTTTCGAATATCTTTGAATCGTCTATCTACTAATTACTATTTATCTTCACTGTCCATATAATAACTGATACCGCGTTATTCTCCACCAATATTTATATACCTACCAATTTAAAATTATGGTGAAGGTTCCTTCAGGTTCTAGAACGTTCTCGCCAAAAATTAGAAACACTATCACGTTATATTTGGAATAGACTAGAAATAGTATCCCGTTGACTCTGGAATGTTCGCGAAAGTACCTCCGCCATAGTCATCTTAAGGGGTTTAATTATGTATAATAATCGGACAAGTTGAGCCTCAAAGGCCAAATAAGACAGAGAGGGACTTGGAGGGTTAGAGCATGACTGAATAATGAAATGGCTCACATAACAATATTGATATTATGGCTGAATAGATATTTAAGAGACCTTTCAAATGATGTATATTGTAACACCCACATTTCTATTTTAAAATATGTATCTATGATGTCATCAAGTTGTCACAGATGACGTCAAAAAAAGGTAATCTGATGAAATGTCCGTTCACAAATAAAAATCGACGGGTTCTATAAAGTCGCAGGTTTACTAAATAATAAATGTATTTAATATTTTTCAAAACATCTTGCTGATATCTAGATAATCTGTTAAAAAGTAATACACCTTTAAATAGAAACTATCATCTAGCGTGCATTAAACCACATTATGGGTATATAACATAGTCGAGCGGTAACATATTTGTTTGACATACGACATTTGACAAGTTCAAATCATGTGATCGAACTAGGGGTGCAATTAGAGAGGAAACGCAACTTGCCATCATACAATTTTATTATTACCTACTTTATTTTAATACTTTATCTCATTACTTTATCTTTGTACTTTATCTTAGTTCTTTATCTTAGTACTTTTTTTCAATTCAAATAAATTTATTGCAAATAGTATTATATACCTAAAAATGTTTTACTTATTTCTAAAATATAATAATTATCAGAATGTCCTACAGGGCTTATAACCACGCTAGGCTAAGTGGCCTGTCTTGTGGCTTTTAGACCTGTGAAGCATTTTAACGAGTTTTAAATAATATAATTGGTATTTAAGGCAATGTAACAAATTTTTAATTAAATAGTTTTAATTTCACTATTTTAAGATTCAAGAGTGATTGATCAGAAAGCCATTAGGCAAAGTCCTGGTAATTGTACATGTAATTACTATTAAAAACAAAAAATAATGTAAAATCAGTAGAAAGGAAATTTATCTAGGTAATTTTTATATAATTAATTACTCTTTTTTTTTGTCTTAGTACTTTATCTTAGTACCTAATCTTAGTACTTTATCTTAATACTTTATCATACAACTTTATATTAGTACTTTATTTTATCTAAGTACTTTACTTTATTTTATTACTTTATTTTATATTTGTACTTTTTGTTATCATGGTACTTTATTTTATCTTAATACTTTATCTTAGTACTTTATCTTAGTATTTTATCCTAGTATTTTATCTTAGTACTTTATCTTAGTACTGTATCTTACTACTTTTTCTCTGTACTTTATCTTACTATTTTATCTGAGTACTTTATCTTAGTAGCTTATCTTAGTACTTTATCTTAGCGTTTATTTTCCAGGTCTTTTGGAGCATCCCGTAACCAACGCGTCGGACCTCCTGTTCTGGTTGGAAAACGGCAACAAGAAGCGAAAAGTAGCCGCTACCCTTTCGAATCCGCAATCGAGCAGAAGCCATTCCGTTTTCGTCGTCAATTGTGACGGCGTCAAATTAAATTTGATCGATTTAGCGGGCAGCGAACGAGTGGGGAATCGATGCTTCAACATCGTTCGATTCAAGGAGGGCGCCAACATAAACAAGAGTATCGTGGCGTTGGGTAATGTCATCTCCGCGTTAGGTAAGTAAGGGGTAATATACTAGTTGTTATTTATTTGTAAATGGTTTGCACTGAAACAATCTCTGGTAAAATAGGTTTCCAAATTTGTATTATACAGGGTCAGTACAATTTCATAGGGACAGTATTGCTATTTTTTAAACGGTAACAGATAGAAAGTTAGTTAAATTAATGATTAATTTTTTGTCCGATATTTTGAATCTCCCTGTAGATATCAAAGATTTTTTGGCACCATTTTAATGAGCACAGAACAGCGCAACTTTTGTCTAATTTAACCAATTTTCTATCTGTTACAGTTTAATAAATAGCAATATGAAACAGTATACTCCGCTGTAGATGTTTTTTTTTATTTTAGCACTACAAACATCTCAACAATCTCGTGGAGTTAGAAGAAGATTTGTCCCGTTCCGGGACTCCGTATTAACATGGTTTTTGAAAGATATTCTAGGTGGAAATTCCAACACTGTTATGGTGGCAAGTAAGTATATTTCCTAATTTTTAACATTTCTTTTTATACTTCGTTCAACTTAAAGTCAAGTAATGTGAAAAAAAATATTTTTAGACTGGTTGCATATTAGGAAGCGTCATTTTTTATAACTGAAAACTGTCATTTTTAATGACAGTTGTACAAAAAACAAATTTTTATTGATTGATATTTCTTTTTGCATGTTTTTGTTGCGTGTATGCATATTTCCAAAAATTTTGTGCATTCTTTCTATGTAAAAAGGCGATACAAAGCTGTAAAAGTCACAATATTGGTTTTTGCTTTTAAATTTATTTTATCGTTGGAGTTGTATCGGCTTTTCGACGGAATAAATGAAATTTAATACAGCATAAATATCCCAATTTGTATCTCACGCTATGTAAATGCGAATTCCTACAAGTTAAAATGAAATCTAAGTTTCGAATAATTGAAGAAGAAAACTCTAATTTTACCTATTAACAAAGAGATTTGTACGAGGGGTGTTCCATGAGTTTACATAGAAAGGAATAACATTTAAATGTCATTTATATCGACCGAAGCGTTTACCTATATATTATTAAAAAAAACTTCTATTTTATAATGTTTGACAGTATTTTTCTTTTGAATTTTTTCAGATTAGCTCAAGCGGTTGCCGATATTATTATTATTATTATTGTTCTTACTAGATTCATTCAACTTTGGTAATAGCATAAATAATGAAGAGGCATTATTTTAGGCTGATGATAATCATAACAATTCTTTAGAGGCAATAATTATATTTATTAAAATCTTGACAAACTAGTTAACATTTTAAACATTCATCAGCTTAAAGCGGTGTGATCCTGGCAGCAATTTTGTAGCTGATAAAATTCCGAACATTACCGAATGATCAGTAGCGTCGTTCAAGTAGAGTCAGTTAATTATTAGGTAAAAGAAATAAGATAAACACAATTAAAAACGACCGAAATTTTAAGACAGGTGTTTCTTTCAAATATCACATCAATATTGCCCTCTATTTAAAAGGGCAGAACCATACTTTTAAAAATAAAATATTTATTTTACTCGAGAAGAAATGTATTTTACAATATTTCTAATGGGCATATTAACTCACAGTAAAAATATGAATTACTTAAATCCTTTCCATAAGAGTAAACTGACTTTAGAATATTAGAATAATTATTTTATCAAAGAAGTAAATAAGTTATCAATTTAAAATGTATTTTAAAATACTTTAATTAGTGGTATATACTATTTTGAGGAAAATTTAACTGGTCCATTATCTAGAATTTCTTCGAAGTTATCTGTTACCTCAACAAAATCATCTATTTCCTAAATATAAATGATATGGGGTTCCAGCAATACGCCATTGATATACGAACCTACTTAAATAACGTTTCTCGATGTAGCTTAATAGAGAGGAGAGCTTCGATCAAATGGCCACCAATGTGTCCAGATTTGATCCTGTTAGACTTTTATGTAGGGATACTTGGAAAGCAAAGTCTTTCAGTCGACTATATAATCTAGAAGCGTTGAAGGAACGCATCAGAATGAATATTGCACAAATAACTCTTGAAGTTCTCAAAAACGTTAGAAATTAAGGACATTTTTTCTACTTCCTTACTAAAAGAATTTACTATTTCTTTCTCATTGCATCAATTCTTAACATATAATTATAATTTCATAGTATTTTACTACATAAATTATTTTGGTTGGCCCTGTAGAAATAAATATTTGAATTATACCGTTTGATAGACGATTAGGAGACTTTTCAAATGAGGTGTCACATGACCCCTGTTTGTATTTAAAAAATTGTCGATTGCGTCATTATGCTAATCTGGTGATTTAACGTCTCTTACATGTACAGGATGTAACTGTATTCGACCGACAACGCTATACTCCAGAAAGATCTCTTTAATAATTGATAAATTTTGATGTAGGAACATGCAACTTTAAAGGGCTTGGTTACCGAGATACAGGGTGACAAAAGTTTGAAATCAAATTCAAAATTTGCCATAAATAAAAAACGTCTTTAAATATTTTTTTTTCGTTCGAGAATGCCCGGAATTCTTCAAGAATGCATTTTTATATAAATAGACGAATTTTGCCGTTTGATTTAGTTGATAGCAAGAGACCGATGTGTAAAGACTAATTTTCAATACAAATTAGTATGCTATACAAGTATATGTTTGAAATCAGTGACAGTGAGGGCAACAACAGTGACGGTGAGGATAACAGTAGCTTCGAAGGACCAAAAAGAAGCAAAAAGTTCATATTACAGGGGATGCGACATCATCAAAAACAAATTAGAGTTTTAGTCCTGTCGTAGTAAAGAAAAGAGGAAGAAAAGTAATCAAGGGAGAAACTAGAGAATTACGAGACAGCAGAAAAACACACAGAAATTTGAGAGAAGAATACATAACAAAAAAAGGCAAAATACGTAAAGCAAAGAAGTTCAATGAATTACCCACATGCAGAATGAAATGCAGAGATAGAATTGATGATACCAAAAGAAGAAATATTTTCAAAGAATTTTGGGGAATTGGTCTTTATCAAAAAAGGGTTCTCTACCTTGCAGGACTAATTTAGTGCGAAGATAAGCAGACATATATCTTTGATTCAAAGTTATGAAAGTCATGATGCTTGAAGTGATTCCAAAAACAGATACTTACCAAGTCATGATCCTTTAGCTAGATGTTATAATGAGTATCAACTTTGGTTACCTGAAGAAAGAAAACCAGTATCTCAAAAAATTAATGAGATAGAGTTTTGAAAAACTAGTATTAAGATTAAGAAGCTTCACAAAGACACTTGTGCTCAGTGTGATAAACTTCAAATGCTTATTAAGAACGGGAAAGGTCGAACAACTTAAGACTAAACTGCAAGACCATCAGTTAGAGGCAAGAAAGGCTTATGAGGCTAAAAAACATGATAAGACTATGCCGTTTGGAGATAAGAAGCGCTTGTGCATACTTTTGATTTACAGCAATGTCTTAACCTGACATCAAAACCTCTATTGCATTCTACAAACGCCAGCTTGGGACTTTTAATTTTACAATGCGCGAACTTAATTCAAAAAAATGTTTTTGTTTTATGTGTTATGAGGCTGTCGGAGGACGAGGAGCAAATCAGATAGATAGAGTCTTATATCTACAAATATTTCACGACCATACCTTTGGATGAAATGACATAAATTACTTTATTACTTTATACTCTGACATATATGTCCTGGTCAGAACAAGAACAGCCATATTCTTATAATGTTTTCTTTGTTAATGAAAATGAAGCCATCTCTAGAATGTTTAAATCACAAATTCCTTGTTTCGGGTCACCCTCATATGGAGTGTGACTCAGATCATTCAGTCATTGAGAGAAAAAAGAAAAAGGGTCCCATTTCCATTGAACATCCCAGAAACTGGATTCAGTTGATAAGGTCTTGTGGTAGCTCTCAGCTATTTGACGTCACTGAAATGACTTTTTTGAATTTTCTGCATTATTGAGGCAATATTTCAAGCAACCAAAAACTGACATGAATGGCCAAAAAATTTGTTTAAAATATATCAAAGTATTCTCAGAAAATAGACCCAGTAGATTATGAGATTTCTCTAGATGAGGATGAACCATTTAAGATTTCGTTTTAGGGAAAAAGAAGCATGCCAAATATATCTGTTCTTCCTTTGTCTTATAATGGACTAGTTCCAATTTCAGATGAAAAGAAAAATGCTTTCCTATATTGATGTTGCTTTCCATACATTTTATCAAAATTTGGTTACAGAGTCTACTGTAGTTACCGGCGCAATAGTAAGTGATGATAGTGAAACTGAATAATTATTATCTTTAATGTTTAAGGTTTTGAAGTGTAAAAGGATACAAATCATTTTTTTTGTCAAAATAAATGTGCAAAAGGATTTGTTGGTTTTATTTTTTGTTTGAAGCTTTTTGACAGTCTAATACATGTGTTTTTCAACTATCTATTGCCATAATAAGAGTTTTAAAAAAAGTGCTCACACAAAAATCCCAATAAAATTATATCATCTCAAAATGTCACTTTGGTACTTATACCCTTTTTCCCACCGGGCCACCAATTGTTACGGGTTGAAAATATTTTAATCGCTCACCTTCGCCAATCTGTTTAGTACTAGTAAAGTATAGTACGATTTATTGAATATATCTGTTTAGCTGGCCCATAACCTATAATAAATATTTATTTTTATACTCTTGTTGATTTATTATCTGTCAATAAATTAAATTGGCAATATAATTCTTCTTTTCTGACCCCTTTGGAGATCTAGCCAATCAAATGAACAAATTTACCCTATTTACCCTATCCAATTAGTAAAAGACCTCTTATTGACTTATCAAATTGTCTTAGGGACTTCTTTCCTAGTTTTTTGAACACTTTTTCTATGATCCTTCTAAAAAGCTAACCTGATTGTAGCATGTGCTATTGAAATCATTCGATTTTTCGGATTCTTTAGCTTGAAAGAACAAGGATTATTGTTAGTAACCCATATAGAATTGAGTGTGGGATTAATTAACACTTTATTGTGGATCTAGGGTACTAACCGTTGAAAAAAAGACTAACTCTTTAAGGTCAACCAACATCCTCAGGTGAGTCTAACTTATTTCTTCCTGCAGCAGCTCACCTACTCCTAAAATAATATTCGCTATTCGCAAGTTTTGTACTTACCGCTCTGGAACTACCTTAGACACGGACCACCCCTATTTTAACGTGACATACAGGTCCTCAGGCAGTGGTCCCCAGACGGGTTTGCCCCCTTACTATACGGCACCCCCAATCTTCCCAGTTGGTCACTACAAGAAGGTTATTTTGTGGTATTAAATATTCATCGAATTAAAATCTACCCCTTCCCTTGAGATTTAGTGTTAAGTTATAAATAAATTAGTAAATATAGTTGTGAATAAATTAAATAATAAACTATTTAAAATAAATAAACTATTAAAAAATTGACACGTGTCTACTGGATTAGAATTTAGAAATATTGAGTAGTTGCAAACTTTTGTTTAGAAGCAAATTTCTATGACACCGTTCATTTTAATTCCACAAAAGTTTATTACTTTTTTTAATTAAAAATGAACAGAAAATTAAAAAAAAAATGTTCCAGAGGCGTAAAAAATAGGAAATAAAAGTTGCCACTAACCCTGATAGCACACCACTGGCTATTTTTTTAAAATGTTAGTACATGTCAAAATATTTATTCTTAAAGAGCACATTGATCACCAAATTAAAAAAACCAATATTTAAAGACGTTTTTGATTTATGGCCAATTTTGAATTTTGACTTCAAACTTTTAACACCCTGTATCTCGGTAACTAAGCTCTCTGGAGTAGAACGCTGTAGGTCGAATATAACTGACAAAATTTTCTTTATTTAGGAATTTTCAGAAGTCTATTTTTGAAATAATGAATGTGTTCCATACATTTGCTTTTATAGTTGCTATCTTTGACTTATTAGTAGACTTAACTTTAATTTTTAAAAACTTTGAGTCAATTTTTTTAATTAAAAACATTTTTCGTTTTCGTTTTTTGACATTTGAGTTTTTAATTTTTTTGATTTAATCTTTTTAGTAATAACAAAAATTTTTCACTTATTTTTTGTTTTTAACTACTTGTTTCATAATTTCCAACCATCCCTGGTACCTACAGCATCTACTTCAATTTCGTATCAAAATTCAATAACCAAAAACATTCATAGTAGGCGCCGTTTCTTTTTTCAGCCGTTTCTCCCTCCAGCGCCTGCTATAACGAGACCGTGAACACTCTGCGTTTCGGGCAACGTGCCAATAACATCATCTTCAAGCCAGTCGTCGTCGAAGATATCAAAGAAAAGACCATCAGCAATCTAAGAGCGGAAATATTCAGGCTCAAGGAGTTGCTGAAAGATTTACAGGTAGGTCGATATGAAAACATTAAAAAAAATTATTTATTATTGGTAGTAAATGTATCTAGTGATACATTATAGAGAAAAGTATTTGAACGAAGATTGTGCCTATGATATCTATAAATTTTTACTAGAAATTATAGGTACGAGGGTGTGCTGAAAATTTCATAGGAAAACACATATATGATTTTTTTTAATTTCTTCAAATTTTGATTTGTTTTTATAATTTTCAATATTTTCATTCATTTGTTTTTGTTTTGCTGCTGTTTTTGGACTTATTCTGTCGAGTTTTTTTTATTAAATTTAAGATATTTCAAAAAACTTTAAATGTCACATTTTTTAACTAAAGAATCTTTTGTTTTGTTTACTTTTTTGAGTTTTTAACTTTTTTATGTTTCCATAAATTTTAATTTTATAGGGAAATATATATTCTTTATATTTTTCAGTTTGTTTTTGTTTTTAACTCCGTTTTTTATTTTTTGGATATTCTGTAATAGAAACTTAGCTACATTGTTTTTAACTATCTTTTTTTATTTTTTTAGATATTTTGTAATAGAAACTTACCTAGTTTATAATTTTCACACATACAGGGAGGTGCGAAATTATATAATATGAAGCTTTTAAAATTTTGAGAAATTGTGTTTTTAAACTAGAATTCTACTAAATTTTATATTATACTCTTCACAGTTGCAGGCCCCCCCTTAACCCCCATTTTTAATCAGATTTTTTAGAATCAATAGACTTTATCTCCCTACAGAGCTTAATTTTAACTAAAAATTTCATGTTAATGTCGGTTTTCGTTTTTGATTTCTGATATTTTTTTTTAATTTCATTTTTATTAAATTTTGTTCAAAAAATTTCAAAAAATTTCAAAAAATTTCAAAAAATTTCAAAAAATTTCAAAAAATTTCAAAAAACTTCAAAAATTTCAAAATATTTCAAAAAATTTCAAAAAATTTCAAAAAATTTCAAAAAATTTCAAAAAATTTCAAAAAATTTCAAAAAATTTCAAAAAATTTCAAAAAATTTCAAAAAATTTCAAAAAATTTCAAAAAATTTCAAAAAATTTCAAAAAATTTCAAAAAATTTCAAAAAATTTCAAAAAATTTCAAAAAATTTCATAAAATTTCAAAAAATTTCAAACAATTTCAAAAAATTACCAAAAATTTCAAAAAATTTCAAAAAATTTCAAAAAATTTCAATTTCCAAAAATTTCAAAAAATTACCAAAAATTTCAAACCATTTTAAACAATTTCAAACAATTTCAAACAATTTCAAACAATTTCAAACAATTTCAAACAATTTCAAACAATTTCAAACAATTTCAAACAATTTCAAACAATTTCAAACAATTTCAAACAATTTCATACAATTTCATACAATTTCCAACAATTTCAAACAATTTCAAACAATTTCAAACAATTTCAAACAATTTCAAACAATTTCAAACAATTTCAAACAATTTCAAACAATTTCAAACAATTTCAAACAATTTCAAACAATTTCAAACAATTTCAAACAATTTCAAACAATTTCAAACAATTTCAAACAATTTCAAACAATTTCAAACAATTTCAAACAATTTCAAACAATTTCAAACAATTTCAAACAATTTCAAACAATTTCAAACAATTTCAAACAATTTCAAACAATTTCAAACAATTTCAAACAATTTCAAACAATTTCAAACAATTTCAAACAATTTCAAACAATTTCAAACAATTTCAAACAATTTCAACCAATTTCAAACAATTTCAAACAATTTCAAACAATTTCAAACAATTTCAAACAATTTCAAACAATTTCAAACAATTTCAAACAATTTCAAACAATTTCAAACAATTTCAAACAATTTCAAACAATTTCAAACAATTTCAAACAATTTCAAACAATTTCAAACAATTTCAAACAATTTCAAACAATTTCAAACAATTTCAAACAATTTCAAACAATTTCAAACAATTTCAAACAATTTCAAACAATTTCAAACAATTTCAAACAATTTCAAACAATTTCAAACAATTTCAAACAATTTCAAACAATTTCAAACAATTTCAAACATTTTCAAACAATTTCAAACAATTTCAAACAATTTCAAACAATTTCAAATAAATTCAAAAAATTCCATAAAATTTAAAAAATTTGTTACCTTTTTTTAATTGAAGAATTTTCTTATTTTGTTTACTTATTCAATTGTATAACTTTTTCAACTTTTATCCTGCGGAAATTATAAATTCATTACAGGGTGATTCCAAATATAACTACGGACACACACTTAAAAAAAATTAAAAATATATTAGATTACTTTTCAAATTAATTCGAAAAATTTATATAAAACTTCTTATCTTTTGGCTTAAGTCGATTTTTTAAAGAAATTTCAAAAAACTTTCATAGTGACTTCAAATATAACTACGGATTGACATATATTTTTTAAAAATTTAAAATTTTCAAAATATATTAGTTTATTACCTTATTTAAGTTAATTAAAAAAAAATGTATATATAATTTCTTATTTTTTTACTTATTCGGTGGACTTTTTAAAAAATTTCAAAAAATTTTAATAAACTCATTTTTTTTGTTTTTAACTTATTTGAGTTTTCAATTTCTTCAGGTTTTTGTCAATTTGGATTTTATTCTCTTTAGAAAATATAAATTGTTTATATTTTTTAATTTCTTTGTATTTTTTGCAGTTCTAGTTTTTTTGACGTTTTTATTTTCCTTTTTTTTTAGAAAATTTCATAAATCTTTTTAACTTTGATATATTTTTTACTTTTTTTAGGTATCTTTCGAATTTTCCTCACTTTAATTTAATTTTTTAATCTTTTTCTTTTAATTTTAATGTTTTAATTTTATATTTTTAAAATTTATCTACTTTGATCTTTTATAATAAAAATTTAAGAAAATATTTTTAAAATTCATTCGTATCTTTATTTTTTTTAGTTTGGACTACAAAACCAAATGAGAAATGGGCCGTACACTGCCTTCACGACCCAAAGAAACAATTTCATCAACAACATCCTCAATACCAAAAACACCGACTTTACCCCAGAAAAAATAAACACCCTCCAAACCGTCCCAGAATCTTTCAAACTAGACCCACCCAAAGAATCCCTAACTACTCAAGACGAACTAATTCCCCTCATAGACGTCGAAACGTCAATCAAAGAACAACAAAATTTAGGAGAGACCTTTTCGAGCACAACCTCCAAGATGAACCGCGAAAAATTGGGCAGTTACAGCTCCGACGATTCCATCCAATCTTCTAAGTCAGTAGCGTCCAGCTCCGGGAAAGATTCCGGTCAGCAGACGCCACAAAACGATCTCAGAAGGAAATCTTTGACCAAATCCAACACTTCTCTATCGAAAACCCCTCCGAAACGAGGATCGTTAGAAAATACCCCGAGAAAGATGGAGAGAGCCATATCAACTGAACAACTATCCAAAAAGTTCGAATCCAAAGTGACTTTGAACGCCAAGAAGCCCAGATCGCAAGTTGTAGCAGCAGTTACCAGCAGATTGTACAACAAAACAAAAAGAAAAGATGCCTCTACAGATACCGATGATATCAACGCCTTCGGTACTGGAGTTCTAGATTTATTGACAGAAAACGCCAAGTCACGTTTACGAGAAATCACGCGAAGAGCCTTAAAAGCTCACAGAATTAAACACCAGGACACCCAGACTGATTTCGTGCCTGCCAGAAGGATGAAGGAGCGAGCTACTGATAGCAGAGATCTCAAACTTGAACTCCTGGAAGTTAAACATTCAGAAACAATGACTGTTTTAGACACACAAGATGCTTCTGTCGATTGTACCGGTTTCGTTAATATTTTCGGAGAAGAGGATGCTGATAAAAACTTCTGCTTCACCAGAAGTTGCGGTACGCAGTTCAATAAAGACGAATCAGACAGGAAATTGCTATCAAAACCCCAGGCAGTCATGTCTTTTACTAAATACCTCAGAGAGGTGAAAGAGGAATGTAATAACGATGCTATATATACAAACGTGGTTAACATCAACATTTCCAATCATTATTCTAAAGAGAAGATCAGCAATAGCTCATCTTCAGACAGCTTGGACCAAATCCACGCTCAGAGCTTAGTAACACCGGATCTTCTAAGCAACCATCCACCGTTAGAAACCTGTTCTAAAGAAGTACAAACTTGGTTCCAAGGTAATATCATGGAAGTCGATGAAAAGTTCTTAGGAAGAACCATTGACCTACCAAACGATGATGTGATTAAGGATTACAGTAAAGCTAAATGCAGTACGATCCCCAATCATTTCATAGCGATACCGTCCATAAAGATGTTGAAGACTCACGTACCTGAAACGTGCCTAGCATCAGCTTTCGATGAAGAGTTTTGCATACCTTTACAAACTTTCGAAAGTAATTCGATGTTACCGAAAGTTGTTGAATGTCATCGAGTAGAACGCGACGATTTGGTGCTAGTGACGGAACCACCTGTTTTGCAACCTGTGGCTAAGAATCAATACGGGGAAGAAACGTTTCAAAGCAGCTTCCGCAAAAAGATTCAAAAAAACGGCGATGCTACTCAAAGAATGGTAAGCGCTATGTCAGTATTTCTAGAAGAAGCCGCTGGTATTATGTCCAAATTTTCGGAGAAGATAGAAACTAAAAGTAATTTCGATCTAGAATTAACTGTGAACGGAATAGATTTAAAAACGCCCAAAAAGAAGAAGAAAATGCGAAGATTGAAACGTTGGGACCTCGGTTGGGATGAAAAAGAAAGTATATACAGCGAAAAAGGATCTCAAACGTTGCTACCCATCAAGTATTCTTGTTCCACGCAATCAGAAGAACCGATTGCATTACCTGTCAATAAATATGAAGCCCCATTGAAAGAGTGTTGCGCTAGCTTGGAGAACAAAATCCGTAGAGTATCGTGGGCGCCTCCTACCAAATTCAGCGATGACGAAGAAGATGAAGATACCGATGATCTTCTGTCTGAAAGCGCTCACGTTGAAGCCTCTAGTTTAGAAAGCACCCCTCCCGCCTATTCGGACTATGGAAGTTTGCCGAAAAGGAAAAAAGTGAAGTACAAGACTCTGCCCTCGGCAAGTCCCAAAACGTATTTGGAACAGTTGAGGAGTTTTAGGAAAAATATCGTTGAAAAGTCGAGAGACAGCTACACGTAGTGGCATCGCTTCTTACTTTATAAATGATATTTACGTAGATTTAGGTGGAGTTTTTTACTTAGTTTTAACATTTTTTATATTGTACTCGAAGTAATTATTACGCTGTGTAATGATGTTGAAAATTAATAAATGGAATCGATTTTGCTTAAAATATATTATTTATTCTTATAGATCGTGGTCTAGCCAGAGTTAGATCAATTTTCAAAAGTGAACACTAAATAAAAAATATTTTTGTTCCTTTTTACCTCTCAAACAAATTTAGGCCATCTACCTCTTAAGCCGGCACATGTAAAAATATTTGGTCCTTTTACCCCTTACGCCTGCACATGTAAAAATATTTGGTCCTTTTACCCCTTACGCCTGCCAACTTAAAAATATTTGGTCCTTTTACCCCTTACGCCTACACGTATAAAAATATATGGACTCTTTACCTCTTATACCTGCCCGTATAAAAATATTTGTTCCTTTTACCCCTTAGGCCTACCCATGTAAAAATATTTGGGCCTTTTATCCCTTACGCCTGCCCACTTAAAAATATTTGGTCCTTTTACCCCTTACGTCTACACGTATAAAAATATATGGACTCTTTGCCTCTTATTCCTGTCCGTATAAACATATTTGTTCCTTTTACCCCTTACGCCTACCCATGTAAAAATATTTGGTCCTTTTACCCCTTACGCCTGCCGATGTAAAAAAATTTGGTCCTTTTACTCCTTACGCCTGCTCATCTAATAATATATTTATACCTTAGCCCATGTTAAAATATTTGGTATCTTTATTCCTTAAGCCTATCCATATCAAAACAATTGATTTCGATGATGACAGGTGGGGTTTTCCTTACTTGTAAGTCAAATAGCACATCAATCATTTTTAAGTCGTCCCGGAGCGCCACGGCAAATAATAATAATGGACGTCCCTTCCCCGGACAATCTCAGCTTTTGTCTCTAGTCTCTAGCAAGGAGTGGGAAACTGCAAAATGGGTAGTCACAACAGAGAGAGTAACATGGACACCTTTAGTCCATATAAATCACCGTGACCAGATGGGGTATTGCCTGTGCTTCTACAACAGGCAATGAAAACATTGGCCCCGCATATTTGTAGTCTCTACAGGGCAAGTTTGGTGCATAAACGTGTATCAAATACCTGAAAACAAAGCTGAGTAATTTTTATACCTAAACCAGTGCATCTAACATAAGCCTTGGCAAAGGCCTACAGATCAGTAACTCTGATGTCATTTCTATTGAAAGGATTGGAAAAACTGATTGATCAGCATGAACGGAAAACTACTCTGATAGAGAGGTCATTTCATGCAAACCAACATGTCTATCAATCAGTCTGCTCCGCATCATCTTGTAACCAAGGGATTCAGTAGCCAAGAAATAGTCCTAGAAGCATTTATTGACATATAAGGAGTTTCTGAACTTTTCATAATACCTCCTTTAAATCAATGGTAGGTGCCGTTTGCAATCATGGAATAGAGGACACCATCTGCTGGTGGATAGAAGACATGTTATGCGGACGGCAAGTATATGTTCAAATGTTCAGTGAAACCATGCAGGTGAATATATGGAGGGGCTGCTCACAGGGTGGAGTCCTTTCTCCTCTCAGATAGCTTTAGCAGCCTTAAAGGCTTTTGATTCAAATAGAACCAAATCAAAGTTGGTCTGAAACTACCCTTGGAATACTAAATGATCTAGCAACCCACAATAAGGTAAAACTAGTATAGGTACCAGGGCACAAAGGTATACAAGGAAATGAAAAGGATGAACTCGCCAAAGAGAGATCAGAACTACCATTTACAAGATCTGAACCTGTATTTGCGAAAAGCAAAACCTCAGCTCGGCATTTTTATTTATTTAAAACATTTATTCACCTGTTAAAGAATTAAAACATTTACAACATAACATAAAATAATGAACTCAACTCCTAGAAGTATTGTGCCGGCCTTGCAGGTACACGCTGTACTTATGGTGATATCTTCGCGTATGATAATTATAATTAAGATTTTACTAAATATAGCAGCGCTTACGCCATAAAGGCATTATTAAGGGGTTATGGGAGTCTTGAAGTCAGTAATTGTATGAATTTATAGGTTTGGTTGTCTTGGTTATTGTTATTGTCCTATGAAAAAGCTAGTAAAAACAACCTCGACTGGTAGGTAACCACAAAACACCAAATTCACTTGCAACAGATAAGAGGGCACAGCTCATACTAAGGGGACCCAACCCATGCATAGCTGAGGTACTACAACTCGCAAAGCCTCAGATATCCACCATTATGGTATTACAAACGGGGCACTGCTTGCTGAAATACCTTCATGTGATGGAATTACACAATGATCCCACTACGTAAACTCTGCATGGAAGAGGAAGAAACCTCATACCATGTGATCCTCGAATTTGAAGCTCTTGCTAGGCGGCGTCTTACCCTTTTCGGCCTAGAACCGGAAAGAACGCTCCCAAGAACATTTGGTAGGAAACGTATTAAAATTAACCAGATGCACAAAATTATTCCAAAGGTAGAACCTGAAGATAGGATAGCAGGAGAATACAATAGACACAAGAGGCCACAGTGTTCTGGGCCACCTAACCCTACTGTTTATAACCGACAAAGATAAATAACCAAACGCTGCAGATACCTGGCTCCTTATAGGTGATTACCATCTTTTCAGAGAGAGATTACCCCAAGAGCCGGATATTTTCCTCTTGTAAGAATACTAATCTGTAGTGTTTTCGAGGCACTGATAGATTTTTTGTTTTAAATAATTTTATTCGTCGCCGTCATCTTGTTTTTTGCTTACTCGTAAAATCTCGAGGTTACAATTTAATAAATTCTGGGATATCTTACAGCTTGAGGGAGTAATTACCCTAGGGTCCCCTTGTATCCGCGCCTGATATCGTAAATATTACGTAACAAGTGATAAATCAATACTGTCTTGAGGTTTGTTCCAACACAAAGCAAATCGGTTTACGTACTGTCAGGATTCTGCGCAGTCTAGGTTTGGTGTTCCAACAAACTTCGGACTCAAAACTGTACAAAACCTAGTGTTCCAACACACCCACACCTAATCACAAACCAGTTTTTGTACTGTCAATTGTCAAATCAGTTCCTGGGTGTGAATACGAACGAATTGTCAAGACATGCGCAATACGAAAGTGAGCTCGTAAATAAACCACAACCAGGAAATTTCTTGATATTTGTTTTGATAGCATCGATCGTGGTCTTGATCTTGATCCAAGAATTATATTACTATTATCGATCGTAAGTTGGTTTTCATTAATTATCATTATTGTATAGGTATAACTGTATACGTGTATATGTTGACTTATTAATAATGAGTAAATAATGAGGTGAAGAAAGTAAAAAGGACTACTATACTGACTTAAATGGTAAAAAACTAAAATAAATAAAGTTGAATGTACTAACCAATCGAATAAACAAAATTTATAAATCTTTTCATGAGTTTCATTATTTTTTTGTTTCCCAAATTCAAAATTTTATATTTGTTAAATTTGCTTTTACTTTGACATTATTAACAGAGTATGTCTGACAACACAAAAATTTGTTCCAACACATCTAAGTTGCTTGCTGCTGTCAGTTTCAGTGAATATTATTTTTGGAGTCACAGTTTATTGCCAAAGAATCAGTTAGCTCACTCGGACCAGTTGAAAGTTCCAAAATAACATCCACTCCAGGGATACAATTTCAGGATACGCAGAAGACTGCTGTTTTATTATAGACGGTTGTCATATATTGTATTATTCGAGTTGCGCAGTGTATAAACTGGGATAGTATTCTCGAATCACGAATACCGACATTCGCATACGTGTTTTACAATGTGTCTCACTTTGTTGAACGAAAACCAAGTGAGACAAATCATAAATCTCGCATGCGCATCTATATTCGTGACTCGAGAATACTACCCCAGGAACATTGAGATCAAAAGTGCCGACGCAGAGTGAGCGATCTGATTCTTTAGCTATAAACTGTGTCATAGGGTTCAAAATGGCCGCGCCCTATGTTGGGCGTGTCGGACCTCTCTCGTGCCCCGTATAGTAATCAAAGTATGTGGACGTATCAGTTACATAAAGACATATAACGTAAATATTATAAAACAAGTGATACTTGTATACTACGTGACTATGTGACAAAACAGTTGCATAAGACAGCTAACCTAAAATATTATTAAACAAGTAATACATAAATACTAAGTCATTGTTTTATATAACAGCTATATAAAACAGATAACGTTAATATTGCATACATAGTAATAATCAAAGTTGTGCTGACATTTTGACTGAAAATGGAACTAAAAATTTACATAAAATTGTTATGTAACATTTTCTAAAAAAGGCAACTGTTACGTAAGTGTTATTTAACTATTTTTACTGGATTCTAATTATAAATAAAAAATAATATCTATAAAAGGTCATATTAGATTTATTTTTATCCACAAGTTCTGAAAATATGTCTATGTTTTAGTTTTATTTTCACTTATGAAATATTTTATACAAAAAATAAACACCCAACGTGCGACGCTAATGTATTATGTTCCCAAACAGAAAGACCACGAGATATATGCGCGCCGATTGCGCATGCTCCAACTCCAATTTCGACCCCAACAATTGGTCGAACGTCAATTCAAAAATTGCAATCAATTTCATTCAAAATATGGTAAGAAGACAGTTGTTTTTCGTACTAATTTCAATAATACAAGGTAAGTTTAATGTATTTTTCATAATGTCAGCCGTATTGATTGCAATTAAGCTTTTTGATCCGTAAAATTAGGTACCTACATTTTAGTAAAAAGTTTTGTAATAATTAATTACTGATCTAAGTAAGTGTGTGTTTTATCATTTTTAATAATCTAATGAACTATTAGGTATTAAAAATATTGTACTTTAACTATTTTTAAATTTATTATATATAATTTTCTTCTATTTAAATCGCCTTTAGGGTTATTAATATGTAAAGATACATCGATTATTTATCAGAGCGTGTACACACTTGTTGATTTTAAATTATTTACACATGAAAAAACCTTTGACGTACGCTTCTATCTATACTCACGGATTTTGCCTAAAATATCCTTTAACATGTTGTAGAAACAGGGGTAAATTGTACGTGAAAATAGCTACATTCCCGATTTTTAGTCGGGTCTTTAGCGACGCCAACTAGCAAAAGGTTATTGCCAGTGGCGTACATTACAACAATAAATAGTTTAAGAAAATATACAAGTAAATTGTTATCAATGTGTAATAATTGTTTTAACATGATCATGAACAATACAAAATAAATCTTCAAGTTATTAGAGAAGCGCCAATTTATACAGTGTCGTACAATTAAAATTGTGTTGCTTAGTACGCACAGAAATTTCAGAATTAGCATTTGAAGGTGTTAAAGACTTAGAAAACTACACATCGGAAAAAGAACTTGATGATAAATCCACATGTAGATGTGATAGAGGTGCCGAAGGAATAAGACGGAGGGAAGAAGTTAACGAGAAACGAAGATAATTTTACAGAACAGAACGGGGAATGGAAATTAGGAATAATTACAAAAAAAAACAAATTAAGAAAAAGAAACTAATTACAATTTTACTGAAAATGGGCATAAATAAAAAAGCTGAGTTTCAAAGAGAGACAATTTTGAAACTTATTTAGCTACTGTAAATATTTAAAAATATAATTTCGAAATAAATTATATTTTATTTTCATTGACCAATGTTGACTTTACCCTATTACAAATAACTTTCCCCCATTTAAATTATTAGCAATATTTGTCATATCTTTACTTAAATGTCCACACCAGCACTCTACTGTCCAGAGTAAACAACACTTTTTCCATTTAACAAGCATTGGTTTCCAAGATCCTACACCGTGTTCTCTACATAATGCCGTTTTCCTTGCTTAAATCTGACCAATAATAGCCGAGATACACGCTTAGGTCCTTTTGGTATTGCCGGTAATCTATATACGTACACGTAAACAATGGTCGCCATCTTGTATCGCTTAGCCGAGTCGCAAATCACTTAGCCGAGTTTCAATTGGCCACCACTGATAGGTGGCGCCATCTAGTGGCGACTTTGGAACTGTGAGCCCATAGCCCCCTTGTCTATCTACTATTAATATATTGTCTACATTACCTAAGGAACAAAATCTTGGGAACAATATCTTGGAAACTATATCTTGGGAACTATATCTTTGGAACAATAGCTTTGTCCCAACATCTCACAAAACCGTAATATTACGGTCATCGTCATGCGCAGTAAATAAAAACCGTTCGACTTTGGGCTTTATTGATAGGTTTTTATTTATTGCGCATGACGATGACCGTAATATTACGGTTTTGTGAGATGTTGGGACAAAGCTAATATAATAGGAATATATAATAGGAACATATACTGAGAACAATATCTTGGAAACAATATATTGAGAACAATATATTGGGAACAATATATTGGGAACAATATATTGGGAACAATATATTGGGACCAATATATTGGAAACAATATCTTGGGAATTTATATTGGGAACAACATCTTTGGTACAATATATTGAGAATAATATATTGGGAACAATATATAGGGAACAATATATTGGGAACAATATATTGGGAACAATATATTGGGAACAATATATTGGGAACAATATATTGGGACCAATATATTGGAAACAATATCTTGGGAATCTATATTGGGAACAACATCTTGGGTACAATATATTGGTTACAATATCTTGGGTACAATAGCTTGGTTACAATACCTTTGATACAATATCTTGGGTACAATATTTTGTGAACAATATCTTGGGTACAATATCTTGGGAACAATATATTGAGAACACTATCTTGGTATTAGTTATGACAATATTTTTGATGTCATAATATTGTATACTTTATTGAACAAAAATTGATAAAAACATTAACGATATACTTAAGTTGGAACCATATGGAAAAAAAATTATTATTGATTTTAGGAAAAAAAGTTATTCTTGATAAAAAGTCCTGCATAACCCAAAACTTAAAATACAGCCATCAGATATCAAATTTTTCAAGCCGTATACGAGGTTCGTCACAAAATATGAATTTTGCTCAAGAGTAAAGTAGGTTTATTTTTGACAAAATCGAAAATTTTTATTAAGAAAATTGCTAAATTCTTCACAAACATTAAGAAAAGGAAAGCGTATCATGTTTATAGTAGAGAGAAGAGAGAAAAATTATGGATTACCGTAATTAGGTGGATCAATGCAAAATCTAGAAAAAAATCTGATTTTGCAGATAGATCGGTGTAATTGCATATTTGAATGTAATTTTAAATTCTAATCAACTTTTCTTAATAAAAATTTTTGATTTTGTCAAAAATAAACGTACTTTATTCTTGAGCAAAATTCATATTATTTGACAAACCTCGTATACGGTTTGTAAAATTTAATATCTGATGACTATATTTTAAGTTTTGGGTCATGCAGGACTTTTTATCAAGAATAACTTTTTTCCTAAAATCAATAATAACATTTTTTTCTATATGGTGCCAATTTAAGTAGACACAGTGTATAATGTGTTATATGTATTGATTTTAGCTTTAAACTCTATCAAATGTATCCAAATAAATTTCATCAAAGTACCATTAGCTGTTAAAAATGACTCCAACGTTTCTGTAATCATGGATTGTAACTATTCGTTGAGACCAGACGACACCGAATTGGTCATTAAATGGTGAGTACTCATAATGAGATACATATGTATTTAGTCATTGTCATTAATTACCCTGTCCTGTATTTTCAAGTTTGTGAGTAATTTCATCCCTTCCACTCTCATCCATAGTGGTTGCCCCTATGGACAAAGCCATCAGGGTATATCAGGGTACATCCTTCATTCCTTCATAAAAAGCTTTAGCTATATTAAAAAATAATAAATTTTTATTATTAGCTTATTATTATCATTAGAAGAAAGCTGTAGCTTTCTTCTATAACAGAATACCTGAATAAATTACATTCATTCAAATAATTATTTTCAAATATCAAGGAGTTAAGGTTTTTTCATGTTTAACAAAAAGGAACATAGTTTACTTGAGATTGTCTACTCCACAAAAATAATCGTATACCATTTCATACCTAAAATGGGACTATTCTGTTTGCATTTCAATTTATTTACCTTCAAAAAAGCAGTTAACTTATATGATAATTTCAATTAGAACATTTTAATATTTTACAGGTATTTAAACGAAGAACTAGTCTATCAATGGATCCCTCCTCAGTCACCGCAAAGTTTCGGACTTTTAAAAGACAAAATCGATTTGGAATACAAAGCTTCGGATGATCCGAAATGCGTACACAGGGCGATGAAGATTTTCAATCCCACTAACGATATCGCCGGTGAATATAAATGTTTTGTATCCACTTTTACCGATGAGGATTTTTTCATTAAACATATGCACGTGTTTGGTAAGAAATAATAGTACAAACTTTATTAAATATTTTAACAAAAACTTTATTATCTGATTTGCTTTCAACCGCTCGATATCTATATAATATTCCAATATCACATTCTAATTACCTTGTTGAATCAATTTGTTTATTTAAAACTTTTCTTCTATAACTTATTGATAATCACAAATTATTTATGTTTAAAACTTTTTTTTCTATAACTTATTTGATAATTACAAGCAGTGGCGTAGCCAGCCATTTTTCATGGGAGGGGTTTTTGAGAACTATGGGGGGGGTTCCATTAGGAAAGTGAATAAAAACAAATAGTCAATAACGGTCAGTGCCAATACTAAAGCGAAAATGGTGACCCGAGGACTTGGGGGGATTCTAACCCCCAAACCCCTCCCCCCGTGGCTACGCCACTGATTATTACTATCTGACAATTTATAATTTTATATCAACAATATTTTTCAATCAAATTCAAATTCCTAACAATTTTGATAACTAAAATCTATGGCGTCATATAATTTTTTTATCACAAGACATTTTCATATCAATAAATACTTTATTGTAACTTTTATCCTTTTCCCACAATTTCAACTTCATTTTCACTCTCCCTGGGCCTCCAAAGTGCAACTGCTAATAGATAATCTCTAAATATCATACAAACAAAAAAAAAGCAAAAATATCCGTGATTATAAACCAAATACAACTTTTTATATCCCAATCAACTACTCCACTGCTTTTTACAACAAAATATTCTGAATTACAAAAAACTTAAACACTGACAAAAATGCAATGAATTAAACTCAAAGCCAATATCACATAAAATACCAACGACTGTTTCCCCTTCGAAAAACAACTACTCCTTTGGCTAATACCGCAACAGGCATTGAATTACATCCGAAGGAAAGACAGCAGAGATATAAATTAATTACCATAAAGTTGGTTATAATAAGAATTCAAGTAGTGAAATTCATTTCATTACTTGAATTCATTTATACTGGTGAAATGTGTAGCATTTCTTAATTCCATGTGAAATTGAAATTGAGAACCTATTTCTTGCTGAGGAGTCCTAATAAGGACAAAACCGGTCCAAGAATGATGTTCTCCTTGGTGAGCAAAATCAAAGTAAAGAGTGTTGAAAATTAATTTCTATCTCTGCTGTCTTTTCTTCGGATGTAATTCAATGCCAGTTGCGGTATGAGCTAAGGAGTAGTTGTTTTTCGAAGGGTAAACGGTCGTTGGTATTTTATGTGATATTGGCTTTGAGTTTAATTCATTGCATTTTACGTCTATCGCATTTGAGTTTTGATTTACTTTCGTATTTACTGATAAAAATGCCTGAGTATTCTGAAAATACTGACTTGTTTCTAAGTGGCAGACGTTCATCACTCGGTTTCTTCTATATACTAAAGACAGGGCTTGATATTTATTATATATGTATCCTTTATCTTCATATGAAACAGTGTCTCGAACTTTAAACGAACCCTATAAATTTATTCAATTCAGATTAGAAGTTATAATACTATTGGTGTGGCCGTAGCACCAATAATTTAATTATTCATTCAGTTCCAGAGAAGTCCTTAGAAGTTTTCAAAAGCGGACATGACGACCAAACGGTGAATTTCACTTGTATGGCTTCGGAAACTTATCCCAAAGCTAATTTGTTGTTGTTCAAGAGTTACAAGGATCATTATCACAAGTAAGTATACCTAATATAAACTTTGTGTATACAGGTCGTTTCGCTGGTCAGGGTACAACACAAATCGTCAGGTAGAGAGATCTGAGCTAGTTTTGAATTTATATCTTAATGACAGATATACAGTGCTTCTCAAAAGTCCCCTCTCCACTCTTTTCTTTTGAACGGTGGTACTTAGACTGATGAAATTTTGAGGGTGAAAATGAACTATTGTAAGCTTCTCTACTATAACAGGTGATGTAATAGGCATCGGTGACGTCACCAGGCAACTGAAACCAATAATATTAAATGGGACCTTATATCAAGTGACACCTCGTTTGAAAGGTATTTAGAATACCTATTCAATCATACTATTTTTTTTGGATTTACGATGTTTTTGATGGTTAAAATAAGGTCCCATTTAATATTATTGGTTTCAGTTGCCTGGTGACGTCACCGATGCCTATTACGTCACCTGTTACCACTAGTAGTAATAGTTCATTTTCACCCTCCAAATTTCATCAGTCTAAGTATCACCGTTCAAAAGAAATAAGGGGGAGGGGACTTTTGAGAAGCACTGTATAATTTAGAAAAAGTTTTAACTGTTTCAATATCGGTAAATTGATAGCCATATTTCCCCTATCTACTATCAGTATCATCTGTCATTAAGAAGGTTTTTATGACATTTGTGATATAACTGTTTTTTGGAAATTTTTATATTTTCCGTAATAATTTGGCAACGCTGCAGTAAAATTAATAGTAGTAAAATATACAACCTCTAAACTGTCCCTATTTAAAGGAAGTCTCTCCCTTTACGTGTACTAACGAAAACTTGACCCCCAGAAACAAAAAGGAATTTCCCAAAATAAAGAAAAACACGTCTACTATTGACAACGGACTCAGTGGATTTGAGAAAACAGGAATATGTCCCTTTAATTCGAATATATATTCCCAGATTGGAAATTTAAACCATCCTACACAACAGATAGCCCTCTTGTGGAAAATGAAACTGGTGCTCCAATCCGTGAACAAAGAACTCCTTCTCCACAAAGAGGTACTTCTTCACTTCCAAGTAGGTACGTCTGCAATAACTTTACCTATAAGGAAAAGAAAAATTCGTGATATATCTTCATCAGATGAGTCAGAGGAATGGGAGACAAGTGGACAATCTTCAGATAAAGTCAGTATTTTTGATAACAATGCAGTGGACTCATCAGAAAATGAAACTTTATGCACTGCAGCGTCAAACCCGGAAGTTGTTGCTTTCAAATCATAAAGTTGATAGTATAAGCCTTGCAGTCGTTACTTCAAACCCAAATTCCAAAGTTAACACTTCCAAACCGAAAGTTGGCGATACAAGGCATGAAATTCCATCTTCTTTGGAGGATACCTTAGTAACCCCATTTGATATATCTCCACTACCTCAGGCACCTCCTCAGACGCAGAGTTCAAGACCTTCTCAAGGAGCAACTGTTTTTACCTCCACACCAAATTATCTTTTAGTAAAAGAAAAAATAAAAACACCCAGGTCAACTTTACAAGCAGCTAGAAAAGCCATAAGCCTAAAGGTGTTTGGAAAAAAGAAAGAAAATAAAGGGGCAAGTTTTGATGAATACGACGCCGCCTGTATATTTTGCTTGGAATTATTCAGTAAATCGTAGGCGAAGGAGGTTTGGATTATGTGCAATTTGTGCAAAAAATGGTCTCATTCATTGTGCGCGGGTGTTACAAGAAAGCAGAAAGTGTATATTTGCGATTTTTGCAAATAAAATTTATCTTTTTTAATTTTGCTTGACAAAAAAAAATATAGGGGTCATTTTACCCCATTAGGAGGGTCCTGAGCATGGTTTAAAATGGTTCCTGTAGAGCTTTTTAAGAATTAAATTATTTTTCTGTTGTTTTTATCATTAGGAATCATGTTTTCAGAGAACTATGTTCCGGTATGTTCGTTTTATTGTTTGATTAAACTGTACTTAAATATTTCGTTGTTTTGCTATATTTAGCCTAAAAAATTGTTAAAGGGACCATTTTGCTCTATTCTCCACTATCTCCAGGCCGCACAGGTTAGGTAAATTAAATATTATTTGTTTAATTTCTTTATTAAGTGTATATTTTTTTGCGAAGCAACCCGTGTAGATTCCAGGCGGCACGAGAAGTAGTTGCTTCGTCTTCTTGTTTTTATAATCTCGTAATTTATAAATTTTAAATAATCCTGAAACTACGATATTATTAACAACTTGGCAACATTGTAATTTTTAAGACCGAATTTGTCATCTAGAGTAAATGTTTTGTGAATATAACCTGTAAAATTGAGGTTTTTAATTAGATTTTTCACGAAAAATACTGGTTTTTTCAATAAATTTTTTTAAGAAAATTTACTATAGAAACTGGTTACAAAATTCGCACCTCAGGATTCCTCTACAGACCCGTTGATCAACCTACTTGTAAATCGTTCTCGTCACACCAATGTTTTTTGTGAAATATCACTATTTGTTAACTGGCTGAACAGCTAAGAGGGCCCCTCCTAAGATGATGGGCCCTATAATTTTAAGAGGATGCACCATGGACCTAATGAGGCCTAAGTGCCGAGAAGTATCCCATCCTTCACACGTTACAGATAACTGTTTGTTATGAATTGGTTTCTTAAGACAGAAGCTCCTGAAATATCATTTTCATTATTTACCGTTGATATATATCGACAAAAAATACTACTTTCTATTAAAAAAATAAGAGGTTGTTGCCAGGTTCCAGGGGAATGGATTTCTGGGATAATAATTCGTTCTCTTATCAATAAAAATTGACGTTTTTTTTATATATTTAAAAAACTCTTGTGTTTCCGAGTTTCTTTGGTATAGTATCTTTGTACAGTATTTTAGAATCAAGTAACTGCCTCTCACCTCTCTCTATAGTAATTTACCCTATACAGGGTGTTATTGAAATACACGTACATATTAAAATGGGGAATAGTATGTAATGACCAAAAACGATTGGCACCAATTTTAACTTCAAATTCTAAAATTTAAATATTGGGGAAGAGTCCCCTTTTCCGACCTACTAGTTTCCATATTTAAAGAAGTAAAATAAATCGAAATTGAACTTACCCATAGAAATTGCACTGTTGCCGTAGCAAAACCAATTAATTCAAAATAAAGTTTATTACAGTAATTGTTCAAAATGCCGTCCATTATTATTTACACACACTTGCAATCGTCTTTCCAAAGAACTTTGAACATTAGAAATTAGTCTTGGATTTTGTCGTAGTTCCTCGGCTACCGCATTAACTTTATTGGTTAATTGTTCAACACTATTAATAGGTTCATTATAAACCAGTTGTTTCATGTGACCCCACAAAAAGAAATCGCATGGATTTAAGTCCGGAGATCTCGGAGGCCACTTAGTAGGTCCATTTCTGCCTATCCACTTTTGAGGAAATCTAATGTTCAAAAACTGCCGTACGTTTAAATCAAAGTGAGGAGGAGCGCCATCTAGTAGGTACCACATCCGTTGCCTTAATTGTAACGGTATCTCTTCTAGGAGTACTGGCAAAATATCTTCTAAAAAGTGGAGATATCCTGGCCCATTTAATCTGTTCGGGAGAACATAAGGCCCGATTAAATACTGATCTATTATGCCAGCCCAAACATTTATTGAAAATGTTCTTTGATGCCCAGTTTCCCTAATGGCGTGAGGATTTTCATCACTCCAAATATGCGTATTGTGCATATTGAACACGCCATCACGAGTGAATGAAGCCTCGTCAGTATACAATAATATTTTTAGAAAATCAGGAATATCAACACATTTTTTAATCATCCATTCACAAAACTCCACTCTCTTTTCTTCATCACCTGGATATAAGGCCTGGACTTTTTGGATGTGATAAGGATGTAAACCTTGTTCTTTAAGTGTCCGCCACACAACAAATGAGGACACTCCAATTTCAAGACCTAGTCTTCTACAACTTAATTGAGGCAGGTTTTCAACAGCTTCCAATATTTCTTCTTCGGCCGCCAATGTTCTTTGTGTTCTTGTTCTCCCTCGATCTGCATTGACACTCTCAAATTTTCCATGGTCTCTTAGATGCTGAACAGTTGAAATAAACGTACGACAGTCCGGAATTCTCCGATTTGGAAACCGTTCGCGATACAGGATTTGTGCTTGCCGCGAATTTTCTCCAGCTGCCCCATAAACCAGCACTATATCCGTTAGTTCAATATTCGTAAATAGTGGCATCGTAAAAAAATATTTAAAAGTAATCGTAACAACACTTTTTACCAACTTGGAAATGACGCGCTCGTGTTAGCCAGATTCGTAAATCAACTAAAATTTTAATAATCTATAGTTTAAAAACAATCATTTATCAAATATTCTAGTTTTTTGATAACGAGGGTAGTAAAAACCAGTCTTCGGAAATAGAAATTAATTCGAAAATCTTGGCAACATGGTTATTTCTTACAAGACTAGTTTTCTTATCATCTGACAAAAACTTGCATATTAATTACTGTTGATGTTTAAAATAGGTAAATAAACCTAATTTATATAGGTCATCCTCAACATATCAGTGAAGTACGTTTGTTTTAGAATTAATTTTCAAAAATTAATAACTCCCTTAATAAGGGGTATTTTTAAAAAATAATATTTTTCTACATTCAGTGGGGATCTGCGCAATACCCAGTTTTAATATGTACGTGTATTTCAATAACACCCTGTATATTGAACGAGATATTAAAATTCCTGCTTTTTAACTGTTTTATGCTGTTTGTTGTTTTCAAGATACATTATTTACTGTCAGTAATGTTTTTCAAAAACGACAATTATTATTTTAGAAAAAGATTGTCGCTAGTTCATTGGGATGTCAACAAACATACTTCTGGTCGCTTTTCTACGTTCATTGTTGCGTCTGTAAATCGAGAACATCTACCAGCTGGTACAATAATAACGTGCGAAATGAGAATACCCGATACAGGTTATGTCAAAATTGGGAGTCTACTATATTATCCAGAAGGTAAAAATAATAATAATTACAAATAAAAACATCCTTCCTACATAAAAAAATCGAGATATTTGTAATGGGTGGCCAAATAAGTGAGAAACAAAATAAAACCTGTAACAGAGACAACCCAGCGAGATACACGTCTCAATGTATTTTTGTTTGTTCGGTAGAAGTTGTTTGGGCGATTCTAACCACAACCAGTCTATGATAGCGCCACTAGTAAATAGCGGGATTGGTGTTAGTTTTATTGAAGCATGGAGGACAATGAAGTGGAGAGGGGTAGAATGATAACTGTCAATGAAAAAGTCTGGACACTATGCACAATTTCGTTTTGCACATTTTGTAAACAAAATTCAGGGACGGTTTAACAACATTTTGTGCAACAATTATAAAATAGTGCATCGAAAAATAATTAACAAGTATAATTTAATACTAAATCGGAATAAAAGCATAAAAAATCATAAATATAAGCAAGATAACAAAGAATTGACGCCAAAAAAGCTTACAACAGCCCAAACACAAACAAAAAACAGAGCTGAACATGAACATAATCGCTGAATAAAGTCGATCCTGGAATTTGTTTACAGTGCTTTAGGGCAACCTCTCCTTGTCATTTACGTGTGTAAGAGTGGAAGGCTGAATCACGCATAATTTCTACACTCGTGATGGATGCGCAGACGGTACCTTATCGTTCTACCCTCTCTACTTCTTTGATGGAGGAAGGATAATTAAGAGTTGCCGTTACTTTGAAGAAATATGGCAACAGGTTTGCTTGCAGCGCCACCGGTAAGGGATTTGTCCAACTATTTCTCAGTCGGTAATATAGATACCTGCATATTTTATTTTATTTAAAAATTAGCGGGATTTTGTTTGTAGCTCTACTTTAATTAGTATAACTAAAATTTTGCATTTTTATTGGCATTTTTTACAACACAGACAAGATGTAACAAAATGCCAATCAAAATGTAAAATTTTATGACCCATAATTTTAGGAAGGGTAAAATAATGTAATATAAAATAATTGTATTATCTATTATATCATTAAAACTAATTTATAATAAATTTTCTAAATAAACAATATTTTAATAAAACAACTAAAACTTTCTGTAAACTTGGGTAGATAACAAAACCCATTAAGGAGAACCATCCATATAATCTGAAACAGAAAAAATTCAAAGTAGTATTTTAACTACATATCATTTTGAATCTCTTTTTTCTTTTAGACATTGTCACAGTTTTATACTTTCATTATAATATTTTATAATTAATAATGGTAGTCCCTTCATCTTTTAGTAGTAGGTACTTTTAAAAAAACAGATGACTGCGGGATCAAGCTTTGAGGTCCTTCTTTGATTCGCAAATTTTACTTTGCTGTTTTCTAATTATAAAATAGAGTTTTTTCTCCCTTGGAGCTAACCATTCACTGGATTGATTTAAAAATCCAAGAGCTAATTATTGTTTTTTAGGTAATAATTATATTTCATTGGATTAAATTTTAATCGAATGTAACTTTCTTTTCACTGGTAATTTGTTTGACGGCATGATAACAATATTACTTTAGTATTACTCTTTACTGTTAATTTAGCTTTCAAGGGTACCAAAGGTAAAGCCAATGTACAGTATTGTAACCTATATAAATGGTTTTTCGCAAGTGAAATGATGAAGTTTATGCGGCATCATTTAGTTCCTTGCTTAATATAGGAAGGAAATAAAAAAAATGTGTTCTTAAAATTTACAGCATAAATTGGACAGTAAATTGTACTATTTACCTTTATACAAACAACGCTATTACAATTAGATATTATGAATTTATTACGAACAGGACCTGCTAAACACATGTTAAAACATCAAAATATCTTTGCTTAATTTTAAATTTAACATGTTTAACTAAAACTAATATTAAATAAAAGTAAAAGTACTTACCACGTTTTATTCAGCAACCATAACCATATTGTTTTGTTCAGTTTTGTTATAGAGAAAGTAAAAGTTGAAAAGTCTTTTGGTAGGTAGAGAGGGGGTAAACGTCAAACCACGTCGGGCGGCTCCGAGAATTTCACAGTAATGTTTACCTGCCAGTGTCGTTTTATAGAATAAGTAATTTTAAATTGTTATCGGCGGAACCGGACAATCGCATGTATTTATGGATTATAAATAATTATTAAACATGTATTATAATATTCAAATTATAATTTTACAAAATTTCAACAGCTATTCACAATTTATTAAACTATTTACTCGAAATTGTTATTAAAATCTATAAAATAATTTTGTACGCCAATGTATCGCGTCCACTTCGGTGAGATCCGCTGACAACCTGTCAATTTATGTGTATAAAGTGGGAGAACTGGCAAAAGCATTTCCAACTTTTACTTCTGTTCTATTGTATCGGTGACAATCCCAAAGTCTGATTTACGTTGTACAAATAATTGATTAATTCATGTTTTTCAAATAATTGTAGTATTTATATAAATATATAATTTTAAAACAATACTTACCGCGTATTACTTTTGTTATTAAGCGAAATATATTTGAATTATTCTATTATTCAGTGTACTTTAAATTTAAAGATCATTTTATTATTGTAAAACGGACTGATATGCGCGGATGTGTTGCGCACTAACCTGTTGATATAACGCGCATATGTTATAAGCCCCCCTGTATTGAAGACAGATAAATATACAGTGAGAATCGTAAGTCTTACCCCCCCTAACTAACTCGTTACTGGAGTCTTGTTAGGAAAATCGCCGAGACAGGTCGATTTTTGTTTTCTACAATGTACATTTTTGTATGATTAGTTTACCCTTAATTTCATCCCTTACTCGAGGGGAGCAACCCTTTCGAAAAATTTAAATGGCATGGGGTGGTGAGTGATAGCTCATTTGAAAGAGGGTTTTATTCTCTATTCAACCATGTAAAAAATTTTGAAATTTGCTTCATTAATTCTCGACTAATTTTTGTTTCAGAATAACGGAAATTAACGTAGCACACTCATCCTTAGAATTAAAATTCGGCCCTGCATGATTTCGGTTTTGGTTCAGACGTGAAGTAAGACTTTTTGCCATTAGAAGGTCACTATTAGTTTAGTTGCTTTCCTATTTTGTGAGATTTTGTTATTTTTAAACATTAATAAATCAACACGTAAATTTAAAATTTTTTTGCACGGTTGAATAGAGAATAAAACCCCCTTTTAAATGAGCTATCACTCACCACCCCATGCCATTTAAATTTTTCGAAAGGGTTGTTCCCCTCGAGTAAGGGATGAAATTAAGGGTAAACTAATCATACAAAAATGTACATTGTAGAAAACATAAATCGACCTGTCTCGGCGATTTTCCTAACAAGACTCCAGTAACGAGTTAGTTAGGGGGGGTAAGACTTAAGATTCTCACTGTATGTAAAGATCAATGTAAAAGAGAAAGAAATTCATATATGTAATTTAAATGGACCACCGAACAAATTTTCCTATTAAGTTACACGTCTCTGTTGTCTCTGCCTGTAATAATATTTGATAAGCCTTTACCATCTCTTATTTGCCCACCCGGTAGCTACATGTACCTATACTATTTAAATTTTTATCTTTTTTTAGTTCCTCTCAAGGATTCAGGTAACGCACCTGCATTTCTAAATGCACTTCCATTGTATTTTTGTTTAAAAATATTTTTATTTATAATGTAGGTTCAATTTTTCGTAAAAACTGTCATCAAGTTTTTATACAATCAACATTATTCTTAGGAATTCTCAAAATGAACATTCAATTTTAAAAATATTTAGTAGGTATCTGTATTATCAATTTATCACTATTATTTATGTTAATAAATGTTAATTATTAAAATTTGTTTTCTTACCTAATCATCCAGAGTAAATCTTCTATCTACTGTACAGGAACCACAACACAACTTGTGTAAAAAGAAAGAATACTTGAACCATGTATATACCTAGGTAGTAGGTAGTTAATAAATGGAGGAAAAAATATATACAAAAAAGACTCGTCCTCGCACAGAATGTGATTAATTCACTCCTAGACAGATCCGGATTCAAACATTTTTATTCATCGATTTTTGTTTTATTTAGGTATAATAATATTTTGTAATCGGTATTTTATATTTTAATACAAACAATTTAAAAAACTAAAGAATAGCTTACCTTGTAGTAATATAGGACATATTATTATGATAAAAAATAATATACAGTGTATCTACTTAAGTTGGAACCATGTGGAAAACTTTTTTATTATTGGTTTCCTGAAAAAATATATTCATGATAAAAAGTTCTGCATTGTCCAAAACTTAAAATACAACCATCAGCTATCAATTTTTTTAAGCTGTATACGATGTTTGTCAAAAATATGAATTTTACTCAAGAGTAAAGTATCTTTGTTTTTTACAATACAGAAGAATGTTTTGTTATAAAGTAAAATTATTTTGAATTAAAAGTTATATTCAAATATACAATTAAGGTCATTTAGCATTAAAATTCAGGTTAGGCGATTATTAACGTTGTACATTAGAAATTATATGCATTGGGGGCCGTTCAAGTATTACGTAAGCACTATGGGGGGGCGGGGGTGTCTTTGTTTTGCTTATTTTGAATGACATGGGGGGTAGGGGAGTCTAGAAGATGATTACGTCATCGGAAGTTATTTACTTTTTTACACGAATGGCAACCCTCACATTGTCTATGCTTGAAAACGAAACGCATTTTCGGGGATTCCCGCAAATAATGCATACGTTTAGGCACTCGCTTTAGAACCGAGTAGGGGAATTACCGCGCGCTATTCACTTGTCTAAATTTCCTCTGTCAGTTAGACATGGGTAACTCCGGCGCACTCTATTGCGCCAACTCATTGCGTTAACGCAATTGCGTTATTGCGTCACACCACTGCCTGCGCCGAATGAAGTCGATGCACCTCGGTGTATCGCATGATATCGGTGTTATTCAGCGCGGGCTGTCCTTTTATAAGGGTCAAACCGTGTTCAAGGCAATAACGCAATTGGGAATTTAACTAATTTTTTTTTTATTATATGTTTAAAAATAAACGAAAATATAACAGTGTAATGCACTCATTTTTTTATTTCATTGTGTTCGGATTTTACAAAAAATACAAAAATTCCAATTTATATAAAAAGGATATAAATTTTGTATACTAGTAGCCAATCAAATTGGGAAGAAATAAAAATTGACAGTGTACATCAATTACGTAAATTAAAATTCTCAACTCGTCACAGAAAACGGAATCAGTTCCTGGCGCATGGCGCACCAACAACTCGCGATCCTTTCGACTCAGTATCGAAAATTGCGTTGCGCTGATACAGTAACAACTGGTGTATCAACGTTCAAATTAATTTTCGCGCGCCTGTCATTTGTCACGTATAAGTAGGATGTTTGTTTATTTACGTGTTGTGGGATTTTGTATTTGTGATTTTTTAACTGTTTTTAGATAATATTCTTAGGTTTAGTTTTCGTGCTTTCGTTATAAATGTAATATTTTTCATGTGCAGTATGAACTAATTTGTTGGAAATATTGACCTATTGGTTGCTACAAGAACATCTAGAAATATGTATTTACTAAACCCAGGACATGTTTTATTATGTGGTTTAAAGGACATATCAGGTACCAAACGTTTATTATTGATGAACTTCTTTAAAAATCTTACTATCCTTATTCTTATATCATGAAGTGAATTGTGTAGTACTTTGTATACATGTAAATGGTAATAAAACCGTCACAACTCATATTGGAGTTTGATTCTAAACAATGTTTTGCAAAATTTCAATATTGTGAATTTGTAGATACCCATTTATCGTAAGAAACAAAATTTTATGACTTGCACTTGAAAAATAATGAATACTTGAGTTTTGATTTTGACAATAACACCATATAGATTGCAATTTGCTGGAGGCTTTTTCGCAGATTTCATTTTTAATTTAAATACTATCACATACTATAAGAAATAAACAAATTTAAAGCTAAAAAGTAACAAAAAACTCTAATAATTGTAATTGATACAAATTAAAATATAAACAATGAACACAAACGCCGATGTTGCCAAATGATGAACTGATTTTGTCTCTGACTGATTTTAAAACTAAAATTAATAAATGAACTGAAATTTTAAAAATATCAATATAATAAATCGATTTTATAAAAAAATCCTTAAATAAAAGTATGATTACATTTTACTAGACACAAATTTTGATTCTTAAATAAGAGGTCTTATCCTGGTCTTATCCATTTCTTCAAGAACTAAAATCCGACGACGTAACGAAATTTTGCTGCTTCTGGCAACACTGAACGTCATCCTACTTATAGGGACCTTCTTCTAATTTCCTCCAGAGGGCGTATCACTTAGCTTGAATCGCGAGTAGACGTATTGTAAGCATAGCAAAGCAAGTTAACATTTGTGTTAGCGTTGATTCCATTAGCCAAAGTTTAATGTTTAAATAAGATGTTTAAAAAATATCATACAAGTACGAAAGTACAAAAGTTAGTTAACAAAGTGTGGCGAAATTATAAATTACAAGCAAAGTCCGACAATGAACTCGATATTATTGTATCTAAGAGAATTGAAGAAGAATTGCAAGCGGCGACTACGAATAAATCCAATCTACTACATTTTTTTTTCCAAGGTGAGTGACGAAATCATTTTAGGTAACTATGAGTACTAGAAATATTAGAAATCGCCTAAAAGTTTCTCTTTACATTTTGTAACAATAATTTCTGAATGCTTTGTATTCTTCCAGATATACTATGCCAAGCCGTGCTGAAGTTGATAAACAGATCATTAAGTTGCGCGAGGAAATAAAAACAGCAAAACAGTATTTAAACAGGAAGATTCAAAACGCAGTTGCCCAGAAGAAATCCAGAGATGGTATGAAAAGAAAGTTACAAGATGTTTGTCATGAAAATCCAGAAATAAAAAAAAAAACTATCTCTGAGGGATTCAAGGGGACGTCCTAATCTTGCAAGCAATCAACCATCACTATTGAAAACAATTGCGGATATAGCTTTATTTGGGAGTGCAGCAGATGATAGAAGACGAACGGAAACTTTTCGCAGCGTAAAAACTCTTGATGAACTCACACAAGAATTACGTAAAATAGGATTTGACATTAGTCGCAGTGGGACATATCTTCGTTTGATTCCCAGAAAATCTAATTCTGCAGAGGGACGAAGACATGTATCGACAGTCCCTGTTAAGCTCATTCGGGCTCAAACTGATCACCACAAGAGCCACTTAGATAGCAAGTTCGTTGAAACATCAATCCATTATTTAGAGAATATAACATCCATACTTGGACCAGATCAAGTATTTTTCATATCTCAAGATGATAAAACTCGAGTCTCGGCGTAACTGCGGCAAATAAGCAAGCACCTCTTCTAATGCACATGAAATATAGAATCAAATTGCCTGACCACGATTGGGTAATCGCTGAGCGTCATAAATTAATACCATCTGTTTATGCTGGTATCAAAATCACTTCCAGTATGCTAGGACAACCGCAAGCCGTTGGATATTCTGGACCAACATACATCGCTATTCGAAGTGGAAAGCATAGTTCATCTACTGCTAATACTCATGCTCAGGATTTCGAGACGCTTCTCGAACTTGAAGATTTCGACCATTAGCTAAAACTGACCATGGACTAGTAAAACCAGTGGTAATCATGACGGTTGATGGAAGGCCAGATGAAAATCCGCGTTATCAAAAAGTCATAGGGTTTGCTATACCACACTTTAAGCGACATGATCTCGATGCATTGTTTTTAGCTACCAATGCTCCTGGAAGAAGTGCGTATAACAGAGTAGAGCGCAGAATGGCTCCTCTTAGTCGGGAACTGGCTGGTTTCATGAATATTTTGGGTCTCATTTGGATGAACGTTTCAATTGATGAACATTTAGAAAGATCTAATTTCGAATTTGCAGGAAATGTATTAGCTGAAGTATGGAGTTCAATGGAAATTGATGGCTATAATGTTACTGCAAAATATGTTGGGGTAGGTGAACAAGATCTTCCTGATTTTCCAGACATTAAATGGTATTCAGAACATGTGCGTGAAAGCCAATACTTGCTTCAAATTGTAAAATATAGAATGCTGTCGTCCAAGAAGTGGCCTATTCAGATTACTAGACAACAGGTTTCTTCCACTACCTGTAAAAGTAAAACAAACAGTTGATGACTTGGTTTTGGATGAAGGAGGGCAATTTCTTGATCTTCCAGTCAATTTAGCTCTACGCTTAAGTGCTTCACTCAAAGATATCCTGCAAATACCCTACGTTTATTTTTGTCCGACGGTAAAATTGAGACTATCAAGTCGAACATGCAAAACGTGTGGTCTTTATCATGCTTCCGTCAAGTCACTAAAACGTCACATCAAGAAGATCCATAAAAAAGTAAACACGCACACTGATAGGAAAGTTAGACCTGTAAGAGTCGCTGCTCGTCGTGCTAATGAACTGATGTGCATTATTCAAAATTTAGAGCACCATGATGTTGAATGGCTCGATGAGAACGACGTAGACATTCCCAAATCGGATGAAAGCGAGCACTCTCACAACACTGAGCAACAATTCAATGTCATCGACTGAAGACTATTCATTTGAATTTAATATGTGTACCAAAAATTTAAAGTAAGTTTGTTATGTTCGTAAGATTATAATATTTTTGTCCCTTACTCTATGTTGAATACTGTATCAGTAAAATCTAATCTTTATCCTAAATATATTTTCTTATTTTTAAAATTATAATTATAATATAAAAAAAATACATTTATAATTGAAAAATGTTTACGTAAGCATGGGGGGAAGGGGTAAGAGCTTTGCTTACTTTTGCTAACAAGGGGGATGGGGGGGGGGGGTAAATAATTGTAATAAATCTGCTTACGTAATATTTGAACGACCCCTAGTATAAACTAGATTGCGAAATAATTATTTTTGATAGTGGAATAATTAACGGAAAACGTTTTTTGAAAAATATCTCAAAAACACGTAATTTTTTGATTCGAAAAATAATTTAAAAAGTAAAAGGCACATAACTAGAAACTATTCAAAATTAAGAGACTACAATTGAGTTCTCTCTGCAACAAGAAACTAACGGGGGTCATTAATAGAGATGGTAAATATCAGAACTGCTACAGTTACTAAAGAAAAATTATTGCGTTATTTTTGTTGCAAAGTAACATGTAACATAAATATGTTACTTTAAAAGTAGCAAAATTATGTTTGTATATGAGATATATTATGATTTGATTGAAAATTCATACAATAACCGTTTCTTTAAATTTTGTGATGAAAAACATTATTGTGCTTATTTAAAAAAAATACAAAAATTAAGGAACATTATTGTGCTATGATTAAGGTAAAAATTAAATTTTCTAATTGGAAAATATTTCTCTTAAAATGTTCAAAACTATAGAACCGGTAACATTTTTAAACGGTAGTATCTAGCAAAGATTAGGTTTGTCTGTCTTAAATAGTATGATAAATAAACAATTGTAAAATATTTCTTCAATCTCAAGACCTTTTTTTATTATTTTCTTTTTTTAATTTGGTTTCCTTCGCCAAATCATTGAATAGAAATTCTATATCTACCTACATTTGAAAAACTCTTTAGGTACACATTTTTTAATTGAAATACAAAATTAATAAAATAATAGGTAGGTATTTATTCAAAAAATAAAAAACAAGTTTTTAAAATATTTGTTTACAAACACATTTTCTTGGAAAAAATATTTATTATTAAATTTGGCCTGGTGCCAATTTACTGCGCACCGCCTTTCCATATAAATCGGCACCTTTCTGATTGGCCTCCGCGTAGTTAGGAATGGCCAAAGCACATCTAGACAACCAATTTGACACGTTCGCATAGGCGCCTATATTCCAGCCTACTGCCTAAAAATACAATAGAACTTTTATGAAATAGGTTCAAACAATTTTAAACAGATTTATCTTTACCGCAATGGTTGAAACTGAGGCTACCAAGCAACAATCAGCGATGGTTAAATGTTTCCCTGTCACAAAATCATTTCCTTCCAAAAATACATCCAAAAACCCTAAAGCTTCATCTAAAGGGCCCTTATGTTCATCAAAAATCTCGTCTTGGCCCGAAAATAGTACAGGATACTATATAAAAAAAAACAGTACAACATAACATTAACACCTTTTAACCATATTAACTTACACATATCTGCCTAATCCTGGGATACAGTGTTCCACAATCGAAAAATAACCTCTGGTCCACTAGGGCTTTAGCCGCGGGTTCTTGAGGATACAAATTTTTATCTTTTGCGTACACATTAGCCAAATATCCAGCTATTGCGTGGCTATCCCAAATCACTACCTCCCCATCAACTAAAGTTGGAATGGTATGTTGAGGATTTATCTATTAAAATCAAAATTTGTCTAGATTTAATCTTACAAATTAAAAATAAATAAAATAATACTTAACTAATTAAAAATTTGAAAATAACTCCTGGACTATAACATAAACAGTTAAATTTCAAATATTTATTTATTGTATTTATCTGAATTTTACTGTGCTATGAATAAGGTTTACATTTTATATCACAGATCTGTATCTAGGTATAATCACAGATCAGAGTTTTATATATTTTCAGATAAAGATAACATTTTCAATTCTTAATAAAAAGTTAAAATAAACACTTTGTTAGTTTTGAATTTGTAAACAATAAAAGTAGGGTTATGGTCAAACAAACCTTTATGAAATCTTCACTGAGCTGTTCTTTTTTCAACAAATCCACTATTTGAACGTCTACATTTGCGCCAGCCGCTTTAGCTGCGAGAAGAGCTCCTCTAGAAGGTGCACTCAAAGGAAAATGATAAAGAATGGTTCCCATAATGTTCTAAATTATAATAAATAAAAAACAGTGTTTTGTAGAAAATTTGTCAACTTTTTTCTGGTTGGCCCAATGTCTCTGGCCCAATTTTATTTATATTGAATATTGATTTAACGTATACAAGAAAATACAAAGACCTTCTATAACTAGACTAGAAATTGGTATTTAATGAGCGTTCTTTTGATAAGTAATGGAATGTTATGTGTAAAAACACTGTCATTGCACCAAAGTTTGATTAAATCGAAAGCTAAAAGGCAAAATGCAAAAGGATTTTTTCAGTGGCAGATATATTGGAGATTACCATATGCACACGCTGTCAGCATTCTTTTAAAATTCCTAATATTCTATTATTGACTATTATTTATGGATTCAACTATAGCTATTATAATATCGCCCAATGAGTCTTATCATTGTTTAAAGCACAAGATACACATAACGCACGTATTTGCAGTCGTCTGGTTTTGCTACTTGCGGTGTAGGTATTTCGGCCATGTGACTGAATATTTATCTTTTTTTAACGAAATTTGGGCGTTAGCTTAATCTTCCATGATATTCTAATCATTTTTTTTGTCTACGAAAATAAGACACTTTTCGGCAGGATGCAATTTTTTGCGCATTAACCCTTTTCGCAGACACAAAAAATACTTGCAATATCATCTTAGATTTAAAAAAAATGAGCTATATCTCGAAATTTGTGTTTAAAAAGGTAATTATCCGATCACGTGACCGATATTCCTACACCGGAAGCATTAAAATCGGGCTACAGAAAATGCGTATAAAGGTATTTTTTGTTATTGACGTCTAGAAACATCATTGCCAGCAAAAAAGGAAAAACTCCATCGATAAGCGACTTCTTTGATTTCCATAGGCCACATGACCCAGCACCGGAACATATAGTGCATGTTGTTCACCCCCTCTCTTGTGCCCGACTACAAATAGCAGGCAAAAAAGACGAGGTAACACTTTTTACAGTCAGCTGAGGGACTATGACTATATAACTACAACGTTGTTGTTTGGGTTCATTACTGCTAGCTTTAAACTTTCTTATGAATAAATGGTTTTGATAGTTTAATAACATTTGTTTATTTACAATTACATATTGACAATAAAGGATTTTAGTTCTGTAAGATTTGTTTATTTTATTCCTAATACAACAATAGAACATGTAAATAAATTAGGAATTATAATGTAAAGAGTACGCATCTAATCATTATTTTCATCATTTTGTATCTTTGATTTGATGATAAAATATAATTTAGCATAAACATTGTGTGAAAACATCTTTTTTAAATTATTTAAAGTTGGTTCATAATATTAGAATTAATAATAATAATAATAACTTTATTTAGAATATATAACGGTACATACAATAGTGTATAATTACATATAAAATTGTTTGTAAATAAATAAAGTTGGTAGAGACTCTGGAAGTGTATAAAACACTTGTGTCGAGCTCATAGGAAAAAATTGGGTTCGTTAAATTTATATATATATAAATCAAATAATAATAATTATTCTAAAACTAAAAATATAAAAATATAAAAATGACATTAAAATAATTATATAAATGGAAAAAAAGAATGTGTGAGAGAAAGGTTTACAGTTATTAATCGTCTATAATGTAAAAATTTTAAGATCAATAAGATTGTGGAATTTTTCTCTTGGTAAGTTAATAATGAATTTTTTTAAAAGTTTTTTAAATATGGAAATACTATTAATTTCTTTGATTGTTTCAGGGATTGTATTGTACATAGTCGGAGCCAAGAAGACATATGACTTTTGTGTGATTGTCATTTGCATTTGAGGTACCCTACTATAATTTTTTCTTCGAGTGTCGTAGGTGTGTATTAACTCCACAAAATTAGCGGTTTGGTGGTGCCTAATACATACATTATAATAATATAATTGTCTTATATCTAACATTTTTGTATCTTTATATAGTTTTTCAGTTGAGTATCTAGAGTTTTTACCTAATATTAGTTTTAAAAATTTTTTTTGTATGATTTCTACTGGTTGTATGTGAGACTTTGCGGCCGCTCCCCAGCATGTTATTCCATATCGCAAGTGACTTTCCACGAGAGCATAATAAAGGACAAGTAGCTGTGGCACAGGTAATATTTTTTTTAAATATCGAAATTTATATAAAAGGAATTGTAGTTTTTTTATTAATTGTTTTATATGATCTATCCATTTAAGGTTTGAGTCGATCGTAACTCCTAAGTATTTTACTGTTTTTACAGCTTTAATTACATAAGTTTCTTTGCAAGGAATTTCAAGATTGAAGGATGGACAATCACAAACACTAGGACTTATAGCTAAGAAATTAGTTTTATCTAAATTAATTGTTAAAAGCTTATGGTCCATCCAGTTTTTTACATTTAAGAAGTCAGTTTCTGCTTTAATTTTCAGTTCGTACCAATCTTTTGCCTCATAAAAAATAACTGTATCATCAGCGAAACCGATTATCTGTCCCGTACTAGTTAGGGAAAATAAAGAATTTATATATATATTGAAAAGTGTGGGCCCTAGTACGGTACCTTGTGGAACACCATACTCAATTGAATGAGGGCTACTTGATACTCCATTTATTCTTACTCTCTGCTGTCTATTTGATAGATAGCTTTCAAACAATTTTAGAGGTGTACTTCTTATCCCTATGTCTTCGAGAGAATTGAGTAACAATGGGTGGCTAACAGTATCGAATGCTTTCGACAAATCTAAAAATATGCATAGGCTTGGGTTTGAGTCATTTAGTGAGGAATACATTTTGGATAAGAGGGTTAGAATAGCATCTTGAGTAGACTTTTTCTCGCGGAAGCCGAACTGCCTGTTTGAAATAATATCGTATTTCGTTAAGTAAGATGTTAAACGAGAGTGTACAATTTTTTCAAACAATTTGGACAAGTGAGTAATGAGGGATATTGGTCTATAGTTTTCGACGCACAATTTATCTCCTTTCTTGTAAAGAGGTGTAACAATAGATTCTTTAAAATCTGTAGGCCATACTCCACACTCCAAGCATTTATTAAATAAATATGCCAGTGGTGTAACAATATGCTCAGATATTTGTTTAAGCGTTTCTGCACGGATGTTATCGATCCCTGGTGACTTTTTGTTTTTCAACTCTTTAATTGTTTTTGTTAATTCCACAACATCAGTAGATCTTAAGAAGAATGAGTTTTGAAGAGTTTTTGTTTTTATTGAATAGTTAGGATTTTTTTTAATTTTATTTGCTAATTTTTTACCTGTACCAGAAAAGACGCGATTAAATTCGTTAGTAATATCTAAGGGTTCGGTTATATATTTTTCATTTTCTATCTTTATTGATTCTATTTTTGTATTATTAATTTTTGTTTTACTTACCTCATTTACTATTTTCCACAATTGATTGGAATTATTAGAGTTATTGTCTATTTTGTTCTTATAGTAAGCAAATTTAGCCTTTTGTATTAGAGATGTTAATTTATTTTTGTAATTGTTATATTCGTGCTTTAAATTGATATTATTGGGATCCTTTAGCAGAGACTTATACATCGAATTTTTTTTGTTTACAGAATTCAGCAAGCCATTAGTAATCCATGGAGTAAGTTTCATTTGTGTTCTGGAAATTTTTTTAGTAACTGTGCATTCGGCTATTGTTTGTGATAATGTAGTTATAAACTCGGATACTGCTTCTGTTATACTGTTTTTTGTATAAATATTTAACCAAGAGTTATTGCTTAAAATAGAATTTAGTTTTTTATAGTTTATATATTTTTTATGTTTTTCAGGGCTCTGTTTAGATCTATTATTATTTGTTGGGAAGACTATTTGTAAAACTGTAGTGTAGTGATCGGTGATTGTTGATTTAATAACTATGGGTAATATATTATTTAATACATCAAAATTAGTTTTAGTAAAAATATGGTCGATGCATGATTTCATGTTTCCCTGAGTTTCGTTACTTGATTACTTGTCTAACTATACTAGATTCTGAGTTACTGGTTGATGCAGAAGTGTTACATTTTTCAATATACATACGTGACATAACCTAAAAATGTTGACGTTTACGTTTTATTTTTAAAGGTTATGTCTAAATTTGAAAACGTGCATTTGTTGATAAATAAAGTTCCGGTAAAGTTCTTTTTAGTGACATAATGGCACGAAGAGGCAAAGTAAAATATAAAGATGTAGTCAAAAAACCTCACATGTCCCAAAAGAAAAGCCAGAAGAAAACAAAACCACGAAAAACATACAGTTTATATTCAAATAACTCGAACAAAAGTAATATACAAAAACGAAAGTTTGTACCTCGCCAATCGTCATACGAACCTGAACCGAAACAGCAAAAAATAGAAAGAAACATTCCACGCCAAGAAGAAGAGTCGTCTGCATCTGAAGAAGATGTAGCAGATTTAGATAATCTTTTAAATACTTTTAAGGACCCCAATAAAAGTAAGAAATCTCTGGCTATTGATAGTAGTAGTGATAGCGAGTTAGAGTCAGAAGAAAATGAGGCTTTAGTTGAGGAAGAAGACATCGAAAGTGACTTAGATACAGAAAGTGAAACTCGGGAAGTAAGAGATGATGAAACTCTAGAAAATACTGAAGGTAAAATTGAAGAAAGTGATGGAGATGAAGTAGATGATGTAAAAATAGAAATAAATGGGAAGGAAGAAGAAGAAATTGATGATAATGCAGATCCATATAACAAACATGTTTTGTTTGATCTTCATGATTCAATGCTAGATTCCCTACAAAGTAGTCCTGTTTCTACTAATAATTCTACAGAATCTTGGCCTGTGCTTGGTAATTTAAATATTCAGATACCTAAATGCGATAATATATCTTCTGAAGAAACTGAACAATTTACGATAGCAGAGAAAAAGATTTATGCACCAGAGGGAATGGTTCCTAAAAGGATAAAACCATCAAATTTGAATGATTTACACATTAAAACCCAAATTATTAATAATTTACTTAAAGTGAACAAGACTGTAACAGATAGTGAACACTTTACTCCTCTACAAGGAGAAATATTTGCTATAATTAACAATTATCAGGATCTCTATTATCCTGAAAGGACGTTTAGTAATTCAGAAGAAATTAGATATACTTACTGTGTACATGCCGTGAATCATATTTTAAAAACTAGGTTAAAAGTGATACACCACAATTCTAGGCTGACGAAAAAAGATGAAGTACCTGAAGAGTTTAGAGATCAAGGTCTTGTAAGACCAAAGGTAAATATTTAAAAGTATTAAAACAGATTATTTTCTTCTATAATTACAGTCCAAAAAATTGATTCTGAAAGAGTCTTTAAAACAATTAAATGTTAATCTTTTTTATATATAATAATAATAATTATAATATTTATTCATCTTTTAAGACATAAAAAATGTATAGGACAAGTCAGAGTTAAAATACTACAAACATTAAGCAGAATATTAGACAAAAAAGAGACAAAAGAAAATATTAACAAATATAGCTTCTATAATATATAATTTTCAGAATGTTCTATGAATGTGCACCATATTTATCACTTGCTTTGTTTAACAGTTTAAAGTATAATAATGGAAACCAATTATATAATAACAAGCACCTAGGTGAGAACACCCGTATGTGCTGACAAAAATTAAAATTTTATTTTAATTATATTTAATGAATTATAAAGGAAATAAAAAAAAAACTTTTTTAAATAAAAAATAAAACTTGAACAATTTATGCAAGAAACAGAAAAAACTATTTAAAAAAATCCATGTATTAAGTCCTTTATTCTTGGAATATTCTGATAAACTTTGCATTATTTTGGAAAATGTATATTTTGCTAACTCTACAGAATTTTTTATATTTGTTTAATAATTTTATATGAAGGGGTAGAGCGTTATAGAACTTTGTCCCTAGATAATTTACATTGTTTTTAAAAAACTCACTATTTGGTTTTGGTACTTTAATGCACATGTTTGATGCAGTTCTAGTGTTATGTCTATGTTCTAAAGGGTTTTTTAAAAATTAATTTTTTGTATATAACAACACACTGCGTGAATATTAAAACATCTAACATTGCTAATTTTTTCATTATATAAAGTTATGGTGGGACACAATCTATCTCTTTTATATATTAACTTCAAGATTTTGTTTTGAATAACATTTAACTGATTTAATGTAGTTCCATACAGGCCTCCCTATACTAAGATTCCATACCGTAGTGTAGATTCTACTAGACTGTAGTATAATGTCATTAGTAGATCCTGGTTAAGAAATTGTTTTAGAAGATAAAATTTATAAATCAAAAATCAAGTTTTTTTGCTATATATATATATATATTATATGGCAGTCCCATTTTAAGTGCTGGTCTATAATTATACCTAAATATTTGGATGTTTCTGTTTCCTGTATGTCTAAATTTTGACATGTTAAGCTTCTAAATTGAGGTCGATCAGCCACTGTCTTTGAAAAAGCAATGTAGTTTGTTTTGTTAACATTCAAAGACAATTTAAAAACATCCAGCCAGTTTTTGACATGTTCCATTCCAGCTATAGCATGTGTCTTGATGGCTTTCCAATCTTTATCACTGAAGACTAGCACTGTATCATCAGCATATGATACAACTTTACCTTGAATATCAATCTGAGTTAAGCTCTTAATGTATAAATTAAATAGTATAGGTCCCAGAACAGTCTCTTGAGGCATTCCGATTTGTATATTTTCAGGGTTACTCACATTGTCTCTGACCTTTACCTTCTGTTGTCTGTGTGTCAAATAAATTTCAAAAACTTTCAACACTATGTCCCTTACTCCATTCTGTTCAAGAACATTTAAGAGCTTCTGATGTGCCACTGTTTTTGTCTCTAGCAAATTTTGTTCTTAATTTATTAAGTTTGCCTCATTCTTCAGCAAATGGTTAAAGAATATTTTCTCTATTAAATTTTCTACAGTAAAAGCAGCGTAATAAGCATCCACTACTCTAGGTTGGCTCCATAAAAAAAAACATCAAGATAATCATTGTTTTTATTTAAAATGAAACAAATAATTAATAGGGCATCATAAAAAGAACATGCACACTACGATTTTGAATTATCTGATTCAGACTGATCTAAAAGAAGTAGGTACCTAATATTTTTCATTGTTTTTTTTTTTGTTTCCGTGCGTTAACTATATATTAAAAATGTTATTATTTGTTTTTATTCTTTGTTTACCTTCTAATTTGGGTCGAAAAAAAGTTTATTTTTCGTTTCTTATATACTTGTTTTTTTATTTACTACACTGCAAATTTTAATTATTTCCCCCTGTATTAAAATCTACTGTTCAGATCTACGGTTTTTTTTTTTTTCACCCATACTGTTCCAAAATCTGGCAACACTGCCTAGATCGAAATAAATTTTCAACCTATTCACCTCCAAAATGAAGCGATGCTCGAGGACAGTGACCTCGAGTGCGACAGGCAGCAAACCTTTGCCCCGAGTCAGATTCAGAAGTGTCGTCAGGAAGTGTCGTCTTGACAACACTTCTCGTGTCGCGCCGTGCGAAATGTGTTTCATATAATTGTATGTATTTTAGATGTGAAGCGACACTTCTCGGTCGCGTCGGTGGTCGTATGGCGCGTCGGCGGTCGTCTGTTCGAATCTCACCGTTGGCCGAGATTTTTTTATTTAATTTAATTATTTAAAATTAATTCTGATGCCTTGGTAGGATTCCACTCGATCATTCACTGTTAAGTGGGTTCTAATTAACAGTGCTATTCCTAAAGTAGCGCTAAGAAACAGTAACAAAACACGAGTCTAATGGCCTTAGTAGTGGATGCCGATGACACCAAATTAAAAAAAAAAAAAAACAAGGAATTAAATATTACCTTATACTTCGACCTCTCACGAGCCTTTGACTCAATTGACCATCGACTGCTAGTAGATAAATTGTACCGAATAGGTATAAGTGGATAGTCATATTTAAACAACCGTGAACAATTTGTAATCATCGGATGCAGCAAATCAAATAGTCAAAATGTGACAACGGGAGTACCTCAGGGCTCAATATTGGGCCCTGTTTTTTTTTTTTTAGTTTTTATTAATGACTTAGCTCTATCTTGTACAAGTCAAAGTACCAAAATTATATATGCAGATGACACAATTTTTGGAACATCAGCAAAAAATGCATCTGAACTTCAATATATTGCTTCTAGTACTGCACATGAATTTTATAGTCATTGTATTTCACACGGCTTAAATGTTAATGTAACAAATTTGAAATCATGACCTTTCTACCAAAAAATATAACAAACGACTTCAGCTATCTCGTTAAACTAAAATCATCAATCATTGATACAAACAAATTCGAGCAAATTCTTAGGTCTAATTTTGGACAGCAATTTAACGTGGAAGAACCATGTAGATCATGTATCAAATAAACTAAATGGTGTATGTTTTCTAATGAGGCAGTTAAAAAACACTGTAAATCTCGATGTTTTAAAATTAACATATTTTAGTTTGGCTGAATCAATTATCTCATATGGTCTAATTTTTTGGGGCTGCTCAGGTTATCTGGAGCGAGCCTTCTGTGTACAAAAAGAAGTTATAAGATGCATGGCTGGGGTTTCAAGAACAACTAGCTGCAAACAACTTTTTCATGACTTTAAAATCCTAACACTTCCATCTTTGTACATATACTTACTAATACTTAATATAAAAAAACAGGAATCCCAACTATCAGATTATAGACACTTACACAATTATAACACACGCAATCACAAATATCTACAGCACTTACAGCAGTCTTTCTCTAGACTCTCAGTTGGATATAATTCCGAAATCTACAGAGGTGTTGCATGTTTTAATAGATATACTCAAGTCAAGGTAATGAAAAATCTTTAATGTATTCAAAAATAAGCTTTATGCATATCTTTCGTCCAAAACATATTATTCCTATGCAGAATTTATGAATGATACTCGGTGATCCGTAATGGTATGTATCTCTTTATTATAATTATTGTCTAATGTTTTTGCCCTATTGTATACTATTTTTAATTTAACTCAATTGTAGCACGTCTCTACTTTTAAAATTGTATGTGTTGACAAATCTAATAGGTCTTATATGTTTATACATTTTTTAACCTTTTTAAAATATTGTAAATATGTATGTCTCAAAGCCGAATAAATATTATTATTATACAGAGTATCCTAGAACGTTTTATATAAATGAAAAAAATGTATCTTACATTTCACAAAATTATTCTTGATAAAATGTTTCTATAAGGAAAATAAAAAATAACGAATTATAATAATTAAGAGTAAAGTACTTTTAAATTTCATATTTAAAACAAAATATTAATTGAAAATGTTGATAGGAATTTAAATTTTAATCTCATCATGCCTCGCTTCTACACTACTAACTTTAAACCTTGTTTTTTATGCAACAATGCTATTAATTTTTATAATAACCTAGACGCAACAGTGAAAAAAGCATTAAAACATGTTAACTATGCAATAATTATGTTTTAATTTATTTATTCTTGTTTTTACTGTACAATATGTAAATCGCTATATTTATTTTATTTTTTTTTTTTTAATAATTATTATTATTTTTCTCATTTGATTCAATCATTTGGTGTATTTACTGTAGTATCATGTTATATAGATTAAGTATTTTAATAATCTAATATTATTTCTTCAATTTTTATTTTCTTTTGTAGAAATAAACCCTACCACATTCAGAAAATATTTTTTTTTATTTCTGTTTTCTAAAATTTTAATTTAAAAGCTCCCATGATGTGTCACAATTCTTTCTAGAACATAAGAATATTATTTATTTTATTACATTTAAGGTTCTAATAATATTGCCATTCAAAGATGCCGCCTATAAAACCATACAAATGATAATAAATTTAATATTACCCGAAGACAAGGGTAACGTAATGAATAAGAAAAGATTCCTAGAGGATTATACCGGCAACGAACTGTTTTTACCTAAGAAAAATCCAAAACCCGAAGATTACGAACAAATTTTCCATGGTAACACGCACGACGACTTCAAAATTGGTATTACGGTTACCAAAAAAAGCTTAAAGGTAATAAATAAATACCGAGGGGAGTCTCACTACTTCTAAAATGTCACCTGATGTTGCCAATTTGGCAGTACTTGAGTACTGTTAAATATTACAAAGTCCTGCTTGGTTCTACCTGGTGAAATATGAAATGTTTCCGTTCTACCCTTTCCTCAAAAATATCCTCTCAAAAATTACACATCTGCATTTATGTTATGTCCAGCCCTGCTTGGTCCTGCCTATAATTTGTATAGCTGTAGGTCATTCACTGAATTTACACCCATATCGGATTAAGAAATAAATGAAAGATTTGACTGGTCAGTTGTATTTTAAACATTTACTCATGGGTGGCGTTATTTTGTATATTGCAAGGGGTTATTATAGAAACAAAATAAATATAAATTTTAGGTATTTAATTTTGCCTCGGAAAGCTTAAAAGAGATAGTTACATGATTTTGTTGTTTAATAATATTTTATTCAGAACAAAAATTTTAATTTACATACACAGTTTTACCCTGCGATTAAGTAAGTACGATCAGGGCCGCCGAGAACCAGGCCGGACCCCAGGACAATTCTCTAAACCGGGCCCCAGGACAATTCTCTAAACCAGGCCCCGTGACCTAAAAAAGCTCTTCAAACAAAAACTTTTCTCTTCCACTTGAATTGAATTTTCTAAAAAACAAGGTCCTGAAGCAAAAACTTTTCCTCCTCAACTTGAATTGATTTATCTAAAAAAAAACTCCCCTCTCATCTTGTGTCGAATTTCTCATACAAAACAAAAAATCCCATTGCCGGGCCCCCATTTGAGTCCGAGCCCCGTGAATTAGTCTCGGCTACCCCCCCCTCTACTCGGCCCTGAGTACAATGATTAAAAATAACATAACTTTTAAAATTCTATATTAAACAGTGATTATTATAAATAATTGTCTTTTGACATACCTATAAATCTTCAGCATCACTCTCAAAGTTTGTGTCACTAGCGTCGCTGTCATCATTAAGGGATATAATTATAGGGTTAATTTCGGTTATTCTGTTTTCACGTGTCCACCAGTCGTCAATTAATTTATCACATTTTTGAACACTTTTTTGCCAAATTTCTGGGGTTGATGTATCCAGTGCTTGTTTCCATATTTCCCTTACTGCTTCGTCGCTGTAACCATTAATTCCAATATGATTGTCATAATACGTTTTACATATACCCCAAATGTGTTCGATGGGGTTAAACTGACAATGGTACGGTGGAAGCCGTAACACATCATGTCCATAACTATGTATGACTTGATCTACCATATAAATTTGTGGTGGTTCATGCCGTTTGGCTAAAGTTAACAACTAAGATTTAAGGGCGTATTGTGGAAATGCAACATTTTCGTTACGTAGCCATTCTTGTATTTTGGCTACAGTCCAATTCTGTCTTGGCGGTTTGTTTAAAAGTTCTGTGTGATAGCTCGCATTGTCTAACACTATAACAGACGGTTCACTTAAATTTGGTAATAGTTTTTCATTTAACCATTTGATGAACATATCCGAATTCATGTTATCGTGGTAGTCTTCTGATTTTGATTTAGAGGAAAATATTAATCCTGCACCATCCACAAATCCATTCTTTCCACCTGCGTGCAAGATTATGTTTCGCTTTCCCTCACCATTAGTATGTTTTATTGATTTTATATTTTCATTTTGCCATATTCTTTTCGTACCACCTTTGGAAAATATCCAGGTTTCATCCAAATATATAAACGAAGCTCCATTCTCTTTTAAACGAGTGTATTTTCTTAAAAAATGTATTCTTTTGTGAACATTATTTTTTTCACATAAAGCTTTTCTATTATGTTCTTTCTTAAATTTGAAACCTATTTCCTTAAGCAACTTCCAAAGACTTGTTCTGCCAAATTCACCAATTGTGTATTTCTCTTAAGTTAGCCAGCAATGTGTATAAGTTGACATGTTCCTTTTTTGCACGCATTTCATACACCATATCACGAATACGAAATTTTGTCCTACCAGATATATCCGACGTTTTCAGTTGTTTGCGAGGTGTGTATTTTTTCTTTTTTTGCTCTCTCCGCTTTTGACGTTTTTCAAAACATATTTTAATTTTGAATCACTAATACCGAGAGCTGTACAGACGCGTTCATGCACACTCACTACTGGCTTTAAAGGTCATCCGTTACCTTTTTTCGCCGTAAAATACTTATAGATTACAAATTAAGTCATCTACACGTAACACGCGCTTCGGCATTTTCAGTTTCGACATACGTTCTCTTCGAAATCCAAAACTGAACTAAATAATTTAGCGCAATTAGGACCGATTCCACCGTTGTGTTAAACAGAGATTAAAATGACATTGTTAATGTAAAAATGTCATTTTAAACTTCGTTTAACACAACGGTGGAATCGACCCTAAGTCCTATAACATCAGTACAAAAATAGAACATTTAATCTTAATTTTATACCTGAGAAGGGGACTTCCGAAAATTCCTGACCATGATGTGTTTATTGTATTCGGAGAAATTGGTATTACCATAAACAATGTCCAAAACAAAATTATAAATATTTTCATTTTTTCGTCTATTACTTTAGTAATTTAATTTTAATAAACATAATTACATACTATATAAGTATTTAATATTTAAAATATATTCACCCTCTACCCACCGGAGGATTACGCTTATTTTACTCAATACCTGATGCGAAATTATCCTGTAGGACGGCTCAGTCGTGTATCTGTTTCTTAATCCGATATGGGTGTAAATTCAGAGAATGACCTATAGGTACTGCCTAACTGAGACTCCCCTCGCAGACACCAATATACGTTCTAGATAAAAAATATTTAAAATTGTTAATTCATTTAATTATAATATCATTCAATTATTAAAACTTACATTTCTACTTTCATTATTAATTGAGATATCAGAATAATGTTTTCGTGCAATCGCACGCGAAGTCAGTATTTCGCGTTCTCAGCACAGTCCGCGAAATTTAATTTCGCGGCCGTTACCCATAGCAACGGCTGCGAAACCAAACGTCACTTCCAAATTTGAATATCACTTCCAAATTTGACATTTCTAAAATATTACAAAGACAAGGATTATTTTTTATTGAATACCAACAAATACATAAGTACTTATATTATTTAGGATGAATATTAACATTAATTGTACAGTTTGTATTATTACTTATATTTACTCCAGAAGTTGAAGCAACTACATCTAGTGTTTCTGAATAATGCTTATTGCCTACATTCAAACCAGATACTATATCGCCAGAAATTAAGTTGGAAATTTGCTTCTTATTTTCGGGTATTAAAACGGAAATCGCCGAATTTACAACTCTCTTGAGTTTAGGAGGCACTGAAATATTGCTATCAGTATCAAACATTTTGCGTTTTGTCAAGAACTGTCAAAATATTTTGTATGTATTGAACATTTCCATAGCACACGGTGACATTGTTAAATAAATTGAACTGCTGTTGATTTTAGAGCAATAATATATTTATTTACAATTATCTAGTTTAATAATTTTAACGATTGCACGAAAAATAGTGTGTATGCCACAGAGCTGGGCACGAGTACTGAATAAAATACTCGTAAATTGTACGAGTACTCAAAAATTGTATTTATAAGTATTTTATTCGTAAGTACTTGTATAGAGATAGTTTACGGATACGAGTAGTAATCGTGAAAATACGAGTAAAGAGTAGGAGTAGTTTCACAAAATTAACCTAATAAATAAACTATAGAAAATACAAATAAAAACCACTATTTACCTAAACAAAAACAAAAAACAATTCTAAAATAAATAAAATACAAAACTTTGTTTAGAATATAAATATGTAAAACAAACATGGTCAACTTGACAGTGAACAATTAAATACAGTTTTTTAAAACTGGTAACTTTGTAAAAACTCATCTTTTTGTTTCCCTACTTTATAGTTATCGTGTTAAACCAAATCAATATTATTTCGAATACACCTTCATATGCTGAAACACAAAGATCTGTTATTTTAAATTTTTTTAACTGTTTGTAATCGTCCCCATGTGTTTTTTTTTTTAATTAAATTTTGACTGAACCCGAAGATGGAAACAAAGTTTTTCGAAACATATGTAGTGCTGTGCTTAAGATAAAAAATTAAATTAATGACCTAATAAACCAAGTAACTTTTTATTTATATAAAATTTTGCTACGTCAGCAAATTATCCTTATTCAAATTAACGAAGATTGTGTATGGAGACTATAGACGTTTAATATTTAACCGTTCTCGTAGGAAACACATTCACACTACCACAAAACAACAAAAATAATGAAACGTAAAACGCCCAACGAATTGCTTTTCTCAATATTCCCAACCCAAATCAGAGACCGCAGCCCGATCGCAACCGAGCCCGTTTCGTGTCGTGATTCGTGATACTGGCGATCTATAGTAGCGACTGGCGACTACTCGTAAAATAATACTCGTATTTTACAAGTACATTCTACGAGTAGAGTTAAATTTACTTGTAAGTACGAGTAATAAGTACTTCAAATAAAAAATACTTATAAGTAAAATTTACGAGTAGTTATTCTACTCGTAATCGAAATACGAGTAAAAGTATTCGAGTACTTGCCCAGCTCTGGTTTGCCATGGCTGCGAAACTTTTTAACGACCTCAAGATTATCTTGCCTCGGCCGCAAGCGGCCTCGGCGATAACTATTCTTTCGGTACGTTAAAAAGGTATTTCGCGGCCTAAGCATACAAATAACTATTTCCGATATATCACGTTATCTTTTAAGTGGCCTACACTAAACATTTTTTAAATATCGTCTATTGGTGGTGAAAAGAGCTAAGCTACATTTTTAGGCAAAATGAATGAATTATATTACATAAATAATACAACTCTGAAAAATACAATGGTGAAGAGAGACAAACGATTTTGTAATTATAACTTTAAAATCCCAAAAACCGAAAGAAGCTAGGTGAAAATACATATATCTCTTTCAGTGGTAAAGCATTTTTTCTTTCGTTTTTAAAATGAAGGACCTGTTTTCGTTTGTACCAAATTATATCATATTTAGTACATAAATAACTTAAGATTTAAATCAAAAGTTGTTTTAATCTGTTACAAACTTATTTACCCATTTTCTCCAATTAATTAGGTGTGGCTTAGCTCTTTTCACCACCAATACGACGATATATCTTGTTTCTCACTTTCTCCATATTTTTCGATACCCACGTTCAAGTGTACATGATTTATCACATTTTGTTCCCCCTCTGAGGATTAAAAAATATATTTATAAATTTTTATTTGAATAAAATCAATAATAAACATCGTTTCTAGTTGTACGCAGATTTTTACTCGTCAGACATTATCTTAGCTTCACCTTTGGGACTCAGAACCATAATAGGAGCCGAGGGCGAATCGGAACGAGACTACGATTTTCTAGCTTCCATAGAATTGCTTATAATGGATCAAACGGAAATATTTCTGATGCAAAATTGGGACCACGTCATTCACGTATTCAGCCACATGCATTTGCAACCCAAAGGATCGCACGGCACGGATTTTTCTAGGTTAGAACATCAATGTTTTCAATCTTTTTTAGTAGATGAAATGTAACGGATCACTTTAGTAATTTGCCTATCGAGTTCTTCGTCTTCAAGTCTCTAGAATCTTCTTGGATGTCTTTTCCAACCGAATATGTCTTTACTTTAGCTCTTGTTTGTCTTCGTAACTCCAGATGTTTCTTCAACGCCTCCTCCAACCGAAGATGGTATACGTCACTCCTTCAACTTGTCCTCTTTGTTTTTTTGGAGTCTCCAGAGGCTTATTCAACGTCACTTAACCAAAGAACTTGATGGACATGTTAGCGAAGTGATCTTATGCTCTTTCTATTTCATCTACTTCTGTTGGTACGGCTAAATTAAAACTAAAATCGTTTTTTTTTAGGGTGAGAACTTGGAGCCTGAACGGCTGGGCGAAATATTACCGCCAAACTTTGATATTCTCCTCATTAAATTTGCCCGAAATCAACGCCGTCTTCAACAAAAAATGCCAAAATTTCGCGGGCAAAGTTAAAATCGTCAATCCCATCAAGTTCGGCAGCATAAGTCAAGTGGTGGTTCAAATTCCGCACGTGTTCCACAGATTCGAAGCCAAAAATGTCGCCGATGCTATGGACGCGCGATTCGACTTTTTCGTTAATAAAATTTTGTCGCAACAGAGGGAGCCGTTGATGAAACAGACGTTGATCTTCGTTTCGAGTTACTTCGATTTCGTTCGATTAAGGAATTATTTCAAGAAGGAAGATATCGGTTTTGTGCAGATTTGCGAATATTCGAAGGTATTTATACAATAAATTTGTTTTTTTAAATGAAAGGTGACATATGACAGTGATAATGACATTATAATTTATCGACAATGACAGTTATTTGAATATACATTACAAACAATCGTTCGTTTTAATTTCAGGAAGGTAAAGTAGCTCGAGCTAGGGACATGTTCTATCACGGCGACGCCCATTTCCTTCTATACACGGAACGTTTCCATTTTTTCAACAGGAAAAGAATAAAAGGCGTCCGCCATATCGTTTTCTATCAGCTGCCGATATTTCCGCATTTCTATTACGAATTATGCAATTTGATGCAAGATGCCAACATGAACAAGAAAGTGGGCAATGCGTCAAATATGACAGTCACCGTTATGTATTCCAAGTACGACGTTTATCAGTTATCGGCCGTTGTGGGGACGGAAAAAAGCGCGAAAATGGTGCAGTCTGATAGAAACGTTCATATGATGGTCACGGGGAATGATTGAACTGACATTTGACAGTTGAAGTTGACATATTTGTAGGATTGAAATAAAAATCATGTAAAATATCGTTTTGTAAATAAAATGTATTTATATGTTACAAGTTGTTTGACATTGATCTTATTTTCAAAACAAAACTAATAATCGATAATGTTTGTTCAAATCTAGCGGTTTTGTTTTCTATCGATTGCGATGTCTTTTAGTTTGGATTTAACTGATTTTAGAGCGCTTCCACACCAATACTATCCGAACAACAAAAAAGAGATATTTAGTTAGATTCTTCGATCATATAAACATAAAATATGTAACACCCTGTACAACAAAAAATGTTTTGTTCCATTATCTCTAGAATATTTCGGCTAATGTTGTTTATCCCATAGAAAACAGGCGGGTAAAATAAAAATTAATAAAACGTCTGAACAGCAGCATATAAGTACCGTTTTTTTAATAAGGAATTCTGTGTTTGAATACAAATTCCTTGTTAAATACGGAATTCCGCATTTTAACAAAGTAAATATTAATTTCCTATTTCGAACGCGAAAGTCTGTTTAAATAAGGAATTCTGTGTTTGAATACAAATTCCTTTTTTGAATTTGGAGTCCAAATGCGGAATTGCGTATTTGAACAGGGAAACATGAAATTCCGTGTTCGAAAATGGAATTTCCGTATTCGAACAAGGAATTTAATATGATCCTGTTCAAATATACGTTCAAACACGAAATTTCATATTTTCACTTGTTCAAACGCGGAATTTCGCATTTGAACTCAGAATTCCGAATTCAAACAAGGAATTTGTATTCAAACACAGAATTCAGTTTTCAAACAGAAAATTCCGTATTAAAATTTTGTCTTCAAACACGGAATTTCATATTTCGTTTTCTAAAACGGAAATTATTTGTTTAAACTCGGAATTCCGTACTCAAACATGTAATTTTCTTGTTCGACCAAGGAATTCTCTGTTCGAACAAGCAATTCTGTTTTCGAAAACGAAATTTCATGTCCTTGTTTAAATACGAATAAACAATTTTCGTGTTTCAACAAGTAATTTCGTGTTAATTTCTTTGTTCAAACACGAAATTTTTGTATTCAGACACGAAATTCTGTTATCAAACGGGGAATACCTTCTTCAAACTCGAAATTTCGTATTCATACATGGAATTCCCTATTTAAAAACGAAAATTTTCGGTTCAAACAAGGAATTTTAAGTTAAAACACGTAATTCCGCGTTCAAACACAATTTCTTTCATATTTACTCATTCAAACACTGACTTTCGTGTTCGGTCGCGAAATTTCATATTTTCTTGTCCAAATACAGAATTTTGTTTTCGAAAACTGAAATTATTTGGAATTCTGTACTAAAACACGGATTTTTCGTGTTCAAACAAAAAATTTCATATTTTAACTTGTCTAAATACAGAATTTCGAAAACGGAAATTATTCATCTCGGAATTCCATACTCAAACACGAAATTTTCGTGTTCTAACAAAGAATTCTGTGTTCGAATAAAGAATTTCCGTGTTCTAAGAAATTCTGTCGTCGAAAATAGAATTTTCTGTCATTGTTCAAATATGGAATTCCGTGTTAGTATGAAAAATTTTCATGTTTAAATAACAAATTTTGTGTTCGAACACGAAATTTTATATTCTTGTTCAAATACTGAATTCCGTGTTTGATCATGGACATTTCTTGTCCAAGCAACGAATTTCGTATTCAAACACGGAATTTCATATTTCGTTTTCGAAAACGGAAATTATTTGTTCAAATTTGAAATTCCAAACTAAAACACGGAGTTTTCGTGTTCGAATACAAAATTTCAGTGCTCGAACAAGATATTTTGTCGTCTAAAACGGAATTCCGTGTTTGTATAAAGAATTTTCATGTTTACACAAGAAATTTCTTGTCTACACACGGAATATCGCATTAAAATTCGGAAATTCGTATTAAAACACGAAGTTTCGTGTCCAAACACGAAATTTCAAATTCCTTGTTCAAATACGGAATTCCGTGTTAGTGTAAATAATTTCGATGTTTACATAAGGAATTTCTTGTCTAAACACGGAATTTCGAATTAAAACACGAAGTTCCGTGTCCTAACACGAAATTTTAAATTCCGTTCTCCAAAAACACAATTTTGTTTTGAAAACAGAAATTATTTGTTCAAACTCGAAATTCCAAACTAAAACACGTAATTTTCGTGTTTTCGAATACAGAATTTCCGTGTTCGAACAAGAAATTATGTCGTCTAAAAGGGAATTTTCTATGTCCTTGTTCAAATTCGGAATTCCGTGTTAGTATAAATAATTTTCATGTTTACATAAAAAATGTCTTGTCTACACACAGAATTTTGTATTAAAACACGAAGTTCCGTGTCCAAACACAAAATTTCAAAGTCCGTTGTCCAAATACACAATTTAGTTTTGAAAACGGAAATTACTTGTTCAAACTCGAAATTCCAAAATAAAACAAGGAATTTTCGTGTTGAAATACAAAATTTCCGTGTACGAACAAGAAATTCTGTCGTCTAAAACGGAATTTTCTATGTTCCTGTTCAAATTCAGAATTCCATGTTAAAATAAAGAATATTTATATTTACATAAGGAATTTCTTGTCTAAACGCAGAATTTCGTATTCAAATTCGGAAATTCGTATTAAAACACGAAGTTCTGTGTCCAAACACGAAATTTCAAATTCCATTGTCCAAAAACACAATTTCGTTTTGAAAACTTAAATTATTTGTTTAAACTCGAAATTCTAAACTAAAACACGGAATTTTCGTGTTCTAACACAGAATATACGTGTTCGAACAAGAAATTTTGTCGTCTAAAACGGAATTTTCTATGTCCTTGTTCAAATATGAAATTCCGTATTATTATAAAGAATTTTCATGTTTACATAAGGAATTACTCCTCTAAACACGAAATTTCGTATTCAAATTCTGAAATTCGTATTAAAACATGAAGTTCCGTGTCCAAACACGAAATTTCAAAATCCGTTCTCCACATCCACAATTTCGTTTTGAAAACGGAAATTATTTGACAAACTCGAAATTTCAAACTAAAACACGAAATTTTCGTGTTGGAACAAGAAATTATATTTCATCTAAAACGGAATTTTCTGTTTTTGTTCAAAATCGGAATTTCGTATTAGTATAAAGAATTTTCATATTTACATAAGGAATTTCTTGTCTAAACATGGAATTTCGTATTCAAATTCGGAAATTCGTATTAAAACACGAAGATACGTGTGCAAACACGAAATTTCAAATTCCGTTGTCCAAATACACAATTTCGTCTTGAAAACTGAAAATATTTGTTAAAACTCAAAATTCCAAACAGAAACACGGAATATTCGTGTTCGACTTTTCTGTCCTTGTTCAAATACGGAATTCTGTGTTAGTATAAAGAATTTTCATGTTTATATAAGGAATTTCTTGTCTAAACACGGAATTTCGTACTAAAATTCGGGAATTCGTATTAAAACACGGAATTTCGTGTCCAAACACGAAATTTTAAAATCCGTTTTCCAAATACACAATTTCGTTTTGAAAACGGAAATTATTCAAACTCGAAATTCCAAACTAAAACACGAAATTTTCGTGTTCGAACAAGAAATTATGTCATCTAAAACGGAATTTTCTGTTCTTGTTCAAAATCGGCATTCCGTATTAAATAAAGAATTTTCATATTTGCATAAGGAATTTCTTGCCTAAACACGGAATTTCGTACTCAAATTCGGAAATTCGTATTAAAACACGAAGTTCCGTGTCCAAACACGAAATTTCAAATTCCGTTGTCCAGATACACAATTTCGTTTTGAAAACGGAAATTATTTGTGCAGTCTCGTAATTCCAAACTGAAACACGGAATTTTCGTGTTCGAATACAGAATTTCCATGTTCGACCAAGAGATTCTGTCGTCTAAAACGAAATTTTCTGTGTTCTTGTTCAAATGCGGAATTCCGTGTTAGTATAAAGAATTTTAATATTAATATTAAAACACGAAGTTCCGTGTCTAAACACGAAATTTCAAATTCCGTTGTCCAAATACACCATTTAATTTTGAAAACGGAAATTAATTGTTCAAACATGACTTTCGTATTCAAACACGGAATTTTCGTGTTCGAACAAAGAATTTTTAAATTTCATTAAAATAAGTCAAATCATTATTTATATATTAATAAAAGATTTTGATATGGCCTGTAATCAAGTCGGAATCATCTTGGTGGAGAAGTGCTATTAAAAAAAGTTAAAACAATATCTTTACGTTTGAATACTCCTTTTTTATTCGTCTTTAAAGTTTATGGCGATTTTTAAAAATTGATAATGTGCTATAAATGTGGTGGTTACAATGTTCAATAACTACAGTTATAGACAGAGTATTGACTAGCAAAATTATAATCAAACATAATGTTTTTGTATGGTACTAAACACTATTTTTCACTAAGTTGACAAAAGTTTTTTGACTACAATTTTCTATTATTGAAAATAATAGCCAAAAATTAATTTTGGTAGGTATCTTTTAAAGTAAACATTAGTTTCTATGCATTTATCTTTTCTCTCCTCGAATACCAAATCATTTTATCAAACACAGGATGTCATTTTTTTTTAAATACATAGTTGATAAATTCCGTTATCTGTGAAATGACTAAATGATAATTCGATCATTATTAAATTATATAGTGCATTATATTCCGTATTTTTCAGCAAAATAATTTAATAATTTCTCCTTCCTTCTACCGCAACGAAGAATACTATAAAAAGAATAATTATAGTTTTTCAGTTAAATTTTTACGGTAAATTTTTCCTAATAATTTTCCTCGTTTTTGTCGAACAATTTTTTTAAAAATATATTAGATTTCGATAAATCTTCAGGACTGTCGACGTACTCTTGCCAAGCCGTGGTGTTGTCTTCTGACGATAGCGTTGTCGATGGATCCCTGGTTTCCGATTCCAGGGCGATCAGTTGACGTTGCATGTCTGGAAAAATAAACGGAAGAAAAATTATACAAGAACAGTACAAAAATAATAAAAAATGAGAATTATTCAGTATTTGACAGAATAAAATGTTAATACAGAATATTAACGAAAGTTTAGTATTTCGAAGCCAACAATACCATTATATTGTCACGAATTGCATTTAAAAATCGTTCCTATATTATGGGCCATTACTTACAGACAACCCTGTATTTATTTGGTAATGGGTTCATATACTGTATTAAACAATTTACTGCTTATACAGTTCATCAAATTTCTAGAGGTGTTCGACGCCCAGACAGAGAACGCGCTACGTGTGACTAAGATAGCTATTGTACAGTCTGCTAAACAAGTTATTTTAAAAAGTTTTTAATATTTTTAGGTAATTAAATTTTAAAAGTGTGGAATAGTTTAGGGATTAAATTGGTCTGATTGGACTTTCTTAGAACGTTTTTAAAAGCAGCTAAAGATAGTATGTAGAATTGAAAATAATTATTATGCCATAAAAGGTGTTTTGGAATTCCTTCAACCTTTTGAAATTGAGTCAGAAAATATAAATTTTATAGGATAGCGGAAAATACCTATAATTTGTTTGTAGGCCTTTGTAAATCGTGGAAATAGTTTATATTTTATTTCTACCTTATTAAGGAAAATGGTACCTATTATTAATAACGGTTGTTTCTGAAACATTACTAAAATTTTCGAAATTTTGTTTTTCTACAAAATAATATAAACTATACTATTTAGAAAAAAAATTATTTCTCTTATAATTTTATAAAAAATAACAGGGGAATATTTACATTTCTTGATCTATTAAACAAAACGATAATTATCTCGACGAATGACACCATGTTCTAGTACGGAAGCTAGCTTTACATTTTTGTTGGTGGTTTCATGGGTTTCATATCAATTTTTTGTAATTGTAGTTTACACGTACATATACCTCTTAACACTTGTTTGCTTTATTAAAAAAGTGTGTTGTTGTGATTTACGTCGAAATAAGTCAAAAACAACTTGAAACCCCATATAAAATCAAAAAGGAGAAACGGAAAAAAATTGAGCCTGTAAATGAACACAACTCAGAAACAAAAATAGCTATCTAATAATAAAAAAATAAAATTTGATTCTTGTGCATCTTCGTTGTGAAAATAGATAATACTTTTTTGATCTTAGGTACAGATATAATTTTAATGGTCTTCCGAAAAACTTTCTTCAGTTTCCATATCAGATTCAAAATCAGTCTCACTGTCACTGTTTAAGTTAATTATAAATCTAACAGTTGCCTCATCCAAAGTAACTTCTCTGTCATAAAATTTAGATTCCCACATTTTAGCATTGTTACAACGAGATTGCCACTCCTCTTTAGAAAACGTATCAAAAAAGGCTTCACACAACATTTGTACGTCTTGCCTCTTAAATGTAGTGTTGTTACTAGCTACATATTGTTTCAATGATGCCCACACTAATTCGATCGGATTAAGATCGGGATGATACGGTGGCAAACGCAAACAACTAAAACCATGTTCATTTATCATTTCTTCAATTACATACCTCTTAAATCGTGACTTATGCAATAGCACTAAACTGTATAATTGCGTTTTGAGCATATACTCTTCGTAAGCAATATTATGATTCCTTAACCAATCCTGCATGTCAGCTTTTTTAGAAGTTGACGTTGGTGCTTTATTTACCTGGACATTATGGTAAGGAGCATTATCAACAATAATGACGCTTCTTGGAGGGAGGTTCGGAAACAGCTTTTCTTTCAACCATTTAGAAAAATTATTAAAATTCATTTCATCGTGGTAGTCTCCACTTTTGGTTCCAGATTTGAAAATTAACCGGACATTCGGAATAAAGCCCATTTCACTTCCTGCATCGACAATAATTAGTCTAGCACCTTTATTAATTGGTTCCTTTAATCCTTCATTTGAATTATCACTCCAAGCTTTCTGGTGTGTGTGGGAGGCATGAATGTATGTTTCATCTAAGTAGACAATTGGACGGCCCTCTGCTCGATAACTTTTTAAACGAATCAGATAGTCTAAACGTAGCTTTTGAATATCAAACCTTTCCATTAATATTTTTCTGTTTGTTTTTGTTTTCCGCCAACGAAATCTTAGCGACTTTATTATTTTTCTTAAACTTTCATAGCTTCCTTTGTACCCTGTAGCTTCTCTAAATTTAGTCAGAATTGTTTTTAATGTTGGAACAATATTTTCCGAGATTAACATGAACAGAATAATTCTTTTTAAAATACCTTTGTCAGCTTCATCTATATCATTAACTGTTTTTGGTTTTTTAATGGTTTTTCTTGGTGATGAAAATTCCGATATCTCACGGTTATCGATTCTTTTTTTCTCTCCAGAAATGCGGACGACAGTGTTTTTAGATACTCCTGTGGCTGCAGCAACACGATCATTTACATTTTTAAATGGTATTGAAGGTGAATTAAAGTTTCCTTCTCTTCTCATAAACTCTATAACATTGGCTATTATTTCGCGAGATTGACTGTTAATCACGCGGCCTCTTAATTTGCTATTAAACTCCATACTTAGGTTCTATTAAACTGTAATGAGCAAAAAACACAAACGAAAATAAAAGAAATGTTTTAGCGAAATTTACATCTGACATTTACGTCTGAATAAAATAGTGAAATACTTGATGCGCAGAGTGTACTTTCATTGCGTAAATCCGTCGGCCCCGCCAACCGATGCCTCTCAGTAGTGCTTTCTCTGTCTAGCCGTCGAAAGCCTCTAGAAATTTGATGAACTGTACCAGCGCACTGACAAACTATATTTGGCGAAGGTACTAGAATTTTCACCAATTCTCACCAATACTAGAAACATTATCACGACTCTGGAATGTACTCGAAAGCGCCTCCGCCATAGTCGTCACATATATTTGGTTTTAAGGGGTTTAATTATGTATAATAATCGGACAAGTTGAGCCTCAAAGGCCAAATAAGAGAGGGACTTGAAGGATTAGAGCATGACTGAATAATGAAATAGCTCGCATTACAATAATGTTGAAGATGTTAAATCAATAATTTTTGTTTTTTATAAGTTTTTAGCTAATCCTGCCGAAAAACGCATTTGGTGAAACTTACTCCAGAAAACATATCAAATAGTGATGTTTTATAAAACTCATTTTGAAACACTATTTTAAATTAAAGATTCATCACGAAACTTTTAAGCCAAAAGAATCAAAAGAAAATATAGTTAGAAGTCAGTTTTATTTAAAAATCAGTAAATAGGTTAAGTTCGGCAAAACCACCAGAATTTTTACAAAAAACGGTCATTTCGGAGCAATTTGTAGTGCTTACCACTCAACGATTGCAGTTCGCTCAGTTAGTTAAGATTTTATCATCTTAAGAAAGCGCATGTCAACGTTGTGATTAAATTTGTGTTTCAAACTAACTACTTCAGTGTTATTCTTCATGAGTTTTGGATATACATTACTTATTATTGTTTAATTGGCATAGCAATGCTTTGAGGGCCAACATGTGGCAACTACGATATCCGGTCTGTGCCGAAAGGTGTGGCGTCTCCACAGGTGAAGTAAACACGATACGATAAAGCGGTATCGGTTTTAGACTTCAAACAACAACGAAAGAAAGTGTTAAGTTTGCAAAAATAATAAAATCTCAAAATGTCCATTATTTATTTAACACAAGAAAAAGTTCAGATAATGAAATGGTATTTTCACTAGTAATACCACTAGAGGTCAAATAATTTCCGGAAATTTTTTCGAGCTCAGAAGCGAGAAAAAATTTCCTGATATTAATTTGACCTCGCGTGGTATTCGGTAAGAAAATTCCACGCCGAATTATGGTTGAAAATTAAATATTTCTCAACAATGCAAATTATTTTCTCCAAGTCACCAGTGAAACATAAAAGGTGTTGTCGCCTTGATTGTTGAGTTGTCATGGTAACTAAGTGAGACCCTAACCTCGAATATAATTTCAGTTTTGAAGTTGTCAAGCGGCCCGACGTAAAAAAATGTTTCGCTGCAATTATTTAGGCCTTCAAATTGCGTATTTCTACTCATTGTAGTTGCATGGGAATACCATTTGAAAATAGAAAATAGTATATTCTTTAATTTTACGTAAGTTTTGAATAACTACAAGTGGTAGAAAATTGTTTTTCTGCGTTTTTATTAACATGCGTTATGAGCGCTTTAAAATGGTATAAAATTCATAACCAGCGTCAGCAAGCATCAATCGTAGGAGGCTGTGATCATTGTATTTTGACAGTTCAAAACATTAAATAACTCGCGTTTTGTTGCGATAAAGAATATTGCACAGCAAGTAAAACCAACAAAATTACCTATTTGTTTAAAAATGAATCGATTTGAAAATCATACGCTATGCAAAATATGCGTGAAATTGTCTGATGTAATGATCAATCATTGCACCATGACTTACTTACTCGGATTAATAGAGGATTGTGGCTCCAACTTGAAAAACGAAAATTTGTTCCGAATTGTCCACGAATATTTGCACCTAAACTACGTAAAATTCAAAGTGCTGAATGGGAAAAAGGTGAATAAATTAGTGTCTAAATATTATATATATTTTATTAGACATAGACACATAATTCAAAGCATCCAAAGTCATGCATTTTCGCCATTAAAAAGAAAAGAAGTGGCCGAAGAATATAGAAAACAACTTAGCATTGTAACTAAAATGTATCAAAACTAAACCTATTATGTGAACAAATAAAAACCAGTCTGTCAAAAATGGTCTGTTATTGTAAACGTCAAAAAATTTCCAGTATAATTCGCTGTTGGGTACCCCACGAGAAAAAAATTTCCACTAAAATACCTCCGTTGCCTTGGTGATCTGTCAAAAACACGTATTTTGATTGGTTCAAAATTACAGGTGTGGAATTTTCAAGGTAATTCTGCTGCAGAGATTTTGAATCTGTTCTTATTTTCATTTGAAGGTAGGCCTGTTCCTACCAGGCAGACAATTTATAATATTATTAACAATCTGGCTGTTTACAAGAGTGTTCAAAATGTCAGCCAAAACATGTGTCCCCAGAAAAACGAGCAATATAAGAAAGGCGTGATGTGGACATCTGTAGTAAGGCTGGTAACCGTGACCGGTTGACCGGTTCCGTAGGGCCAAAAAACCGTTAAAGAAGGTAACCTGTTTAACCGTAACCGGTTTAACCATAACCGGAACCGGTTTATAACCGTATAACCATATTATGTGTACCAACCACATCAACTTCCAATGAACTGGTGTTTTCCAGTGCAGGAAACATAGTTTCGGCGAAAAGAAACTGCTTGCTACCGGAAAACGTTGATAAGAAGATTTTTTTGCATCAAAACTCAATAATAAAAAATAGGCAGTTTTGTTATTAGGTATTTGATATTATTTCTTCTTTCATGTCCCAATTAATTATAATTTATTTTTGAATGTTTTTTTTTACTTGAATATAGTATGTTTTCTTTTTTAGTTTTACCTACTTACCCACCCAGTGGGAAGTGAGTGACTGTGTCCTTTTTTAAATTTTAAATAAAGTTTAGCAAAAGTAAAATTGGTAGAATTTGTATTGTTCTAATTTAATTTTTATTTAGTGAGTTCCTATTTTAAAAAAATTAAGCATGCCCTACCTGGTTGTCATGGGTAAGGAAAGGTGAAATGGTTAGTAAAGTAACCCCATTTCTATTGAAAAGAAAGGATTTGGTGGATGTGTTTTGCCACGATTAAGCCGGTGATGGTTACAGTTAAATCAGTAACGGATAAACCAGTGACGGGTTTAACTGGTCACGATTACGGTTAAACCGCCGAATCCGGTCTAACCGGTCCGTTTCGACTGACTCTATTTGATAGAACCGGTTAAACGTATAATCGGACCGGTAACCGGATAATCTGACCGGTTAACCGGATAATCGGATTGGTTAACCGGATATAATAATAAAAATCCGGTTGTAATCGAAACCAGTCAAAATCTGTCGAACCGGTTTTCCGTTTATCACGTCAGGAATTGACAGCCTTAATCTGTAGTGCTATTGAGGTGGATTATACACGAAGCACCACATCCACTGTTAAGGAATTGGAGATTGCACACACAATTGTGGCTAAAACTTAAAAAAGTATGGGTTTAAGTGGTTTAAATACAGTAAAACTCATGAATTATTTCCCGGAGATCAGATTCGCAAGATGGAATTTTGTGAAAGTGTAATGGAAAATGAATTTTCTTAAAATTGTCTTAAAAACATTATTTTCTCTGATGAGTCGTTGTTTGCATTACGAAGCCGCCACAATCCTTTCCGTCTGCGATACTGGTCTCGGGAAAATCAGCACAGGAGTGTTGTGTGTTGTGTCGCCAAAAAGTCTACGTCGTCGGGTGTTCTCGGTGACCAAGTACTGTATGTTTTTTTATAAATTAATTAAAATAAAATGAAATCTCAAAGTCAGTGTAACATAAATAGTTAGTTATTAGCTTGATTTCTATTTTAGTTTATCGTTTAGTAATCTACTGAACATTGTTTACGAACAATGTTTTTTTATTTAATAAATTATTGGAAAAAATTCTTGTATTGTAATTCTCGTACACATGTGTTAACGTATCAAATTGATTATTTATATTAATTGCAAACCCCGTAAAAATGATGCGACATTGGTTATACTGTCTAAGAATTTCCCGTCTTAACCCAAACAAACTGTTGAATGCGGACTCTATGAAATATATATATATATATATGCCCGAAGAGTATAGTACAATGATTGTATGTAAACAGGGATGAATCACCTTCTACAATATTGTGGTCAAGCATATTAGAAGTTATTGATTAACAATTACGTTTCTAGTAATAAAGAGTTGAAAACATGTTTTACCTGCCAAAATGCTTTTACAATCATGAGCATAATACGCCTGCGTTTTAGGAGCACTAGTCACGTACTTCGCCGCCATCTTTTGATCGCCATTCCACAAGAATACATAGTACAAACTTAACATAATCGCCGCCAAGGACACGAAGAACACGTACGCGACGACTGTCAGAACGCGTACAAGCTTTTTCTTGTGTTTGGGCTCGTACAGACGATCCTTGGCCTCTTCGCCTGCCAATTTGACAGTCGTGTCCATTAGCGAGGCCGTCTTCCATTGGGCCGAATCGCTAGTGGTCAGCTTCAAGCCGTTGGTGGCCTTGTGGGACATTCTATCGACGAGGAGGTTGAAGAAGTTTTTTAACAGATCCACGCTGATTTTTTTATTGACTTAACACTTGTTCGCGAGAGGGTTAATGGTGTGTAAAACATTAAAATGGTATCTAACACTTTTCTAGTTTATTGACCATCTTACGCAGTAACGTAGATTGACCTTGGATTATAGATTTGTAATATTGTTCTGTTAAAAAAAGAATTTTGGTTGGTTTTCAGTACTCCTATACTAAATTTAATAAATATTTAAAATGGCAACAGTGTTTCGCCACTAATACAGGCCGGATATAGTAAATTATAAAATAAATCTACTTACAAAGTAGGCCTTGGAAAAATGCAAACATGTCGGAATGTAGAATTATATTTTAAAGTGTTATTTTGAATTTATTTCAGAGCCGTGCGTGGTATCTCTGTCATTGTCGGTATGTCAGTCATGGCTTAATATTAAAAAAAGTTTTAAGTTTAGATTTTCGTATTTGCTAACTACTAATTTTAAATTGTTCAATATTTTAAATTTATTTTCAAAAAAATATTTGATACGATTTGCTTTTTATATATAAAAAAATCTAAATTATATTAACATTTATTTTGCATTAAGACGTATTTACACAACATAGGATTTATGTATAAACATAACATTGAATTTAATTTTGTTTGCATCAAATTTTAAGTAAAATTTGTCAATTTTATTGCGGTGTTGCCAAATCTACTTATGACCGTAATCCTAAAAATTCGTTAATTATTTTGGCTGACCAGAAAAATGACTTAGGAAAAAATATTATCCGGTATTGTGCCACATACTATTTTAGTTGGAAATATTAGGTTTTTTAATTAATTTAAGAGTATTTCTTAAAAATTTAGATAGCATGTGGCCCATCGTTTAAAAGGCAATTTAAAGGGAACTAATACTGTGTAAAAATCCAAGATGGCCGCTATAATAACTAAGAAAGTTACAGCAGGTAGTAAGTAAAACTCGAAAACAAAAGTCAATTTGGAATCTTCTTTCCTACAAAAATATCTATTAAAAATTGTCTTAGGAATGAAAGAACAGCAATTTATATTTTAAATCTAAATAGAACAGAAAAATCATCTTAGAATGACAAAATCACTAGATTGTACTATCGTTTTATTATAAAATGTTTAATTCAAGTTAAATCCCACCTGTTAGCATTCTTAAGAACCCCCGTATTTTTTATTTCTTAAAAATTCCCGTGTTTAAACATTTGCGAGAACCCCCGTAGTTCAAAATACATGATTATTTGCCCAAATTCGAATCAAGCTTTAAATGTTCAAAATCGTGTAAATAATCTGGCCATTGTGGCCAAAAAGGAGATTTTTAACTATTAGTTAGTTTTTCACTATTAGTATTTTACATTAGGATTTATTTTGTTGTTTTCCTGATCGATCGTGGCTGTGTTAAATATTAGAAAAGAAATTATTTTTATAGCCCGAGAAAATTGATCTTTCCTATTTCTGAATTGTGTACGGTTTTGGGATTTCTGAAGTTTCGTAAGAGAGGCCAGGTCATTATCTCACAGTCCTGTTTCAACGACTAAATTTCTGAAAATCCAAGGTATCTCGAGTCAATAGACCTTTTACTACTCCGTTAATCAGTGAATCTTTCATTCAATCCAGACCGTCGGTACTTGAAAATGATGATGGTTCCGAGAACAGAATACAGTTGGTCGTTCCAAGGAGTAGAGTAGCCGAAGTACTTCGTCAGTTACACGACAGTCCATCAGGAGGACATCTCGGTGTTAGGAAAACCCTTCAGAGAGTTCGGGAAAGGTTTTATTGGATGAACAGTTCCGATGATGTAAAGGACTGATGTAGGAAATGTACCAGCTGTGCTATGAGTAATGGACCCTAGCGAAAAAGGAAGGCTCCCATAAAGTAATACAACGTTGGTAGCCCATTTGAGAGGATCGCCTTAGATATTGCTGGACCATTCCCCATGACCGAGAATGGTAATAAATACATGATGGTGGTTATGGATTATTTCACGAAGTGGGTGGAAATCTACGCCATTCCAAAACAGTGGATTTGGAGTGCCCTTAGAGATACACAATGACCAAGGCAGAAATTTTGAAAGCCTACACTTCTATGGAATCTGTGACAGACTAGGCATGAAGAAAACCAGAACCACAGCATTGCACCCACAATCTGATGGAATGGTAGAGCCAATGAATAAGACCATTGGAAAATATCTGTCAAAAGTGGTTTCAAACCATCAGCGAGATTGGGATTAGTATCTTTCGCTCTTTGCAATGACTTATAGATCCGCTGTCAATGAATCAACAGGCCAAACACCAGCAAAGGTCCTGTTTGGGCGTGAGATGAGACTACCGTGCGACCTCGAGTTTAGATGCCGACCTGGAGAAGATGTAGTTGGTGAAGATTATGTGATCCAGTTACGAAGAAGAATGGACGATATGCATGAATTGGTCCGCTTGCATCTTCAAATCGCCAGTGACAGAATGAAGAAGCGATACGATACCCAATTCACAGAAGGATGTTTCAAGGAAGGTGACAAAGTCTGGCTCCATAACCCAAAAAGACAAAAGAGTTATTCTCCAAAGCTTCAAAGGTCTTGGGAAGGCCCGTAACTCATCAGGAAAAAAAATCAATGATGTAATTTACCGTATAAGTAAGATCCCGAACGGTAAATCAAAGGTAGTTCACCAAAACCGGTATCGCTATTTGAAGGTGACCATGAAGAGTAAAAAGAAGTAAATCAACTTCAAGAAACACCTGACCTTGGCTTTGAAGAATTTATGGGTGCATATGGAGGTACCGGAAAAGCAAGACATGGTCAGGGCCGCCGAGAGCCAGGCCGGGCCCCAGGACAATTCTGTAGATCGGGCCCCGTGACAAAAAACACCTCTTCAAACTTTTCCTCTTCTAGTTGAATTCTTCCTCTGCTTGAATTGCTTTTTCAAAAAAAAAGGTCCTCAAGCAGAAACTTTCCTCCCTTACTTCCCCCTCTCGTCTTGTGTCGAATTTCTCATACAAAACAAAAACAAAATCAGTTGTCGGGCCCCCTTTATACCGCTGCCGGGCCCCGGGAATTGGTCCCGGCTACCCCTCCCCCTCTAGTCAGCCCTGGACATGGTGTTACAACCGAGCAACAACAAAAGGATCTGCTCACAGTTCCAAAAGACTACTCGCTGGTCGATAGCACTTCCGCCAACATCTACGACAGTCGAGGTCTGACATCTGTATTCCGGAAGAAGTTTGGTCGATTGCCAGAACTTCAAGATCAGTTACCAGCCCCTGAAAGAGCATTTAAACTTCAAGATGGATCGCGTTATCTTTTCTATTTGGTAACAAAGAACACCTTCCGAGATCGATCCACCTATCAGGATGTATGGGAAGCATTACTCAGTCTGAGGGAGCATGTACTCGAGTCCAATGTACAGAAACTAGCTATGCCAAAGATGGAGAGCAACCAGCTGAATTGGAGGATCCTTAGGAATATGGTGGAAGTAATCTTTCAAGATACCCAGGTTGAAATACTGGTCTGCAGCCATTCTCCCAGCGATCAGGTTATAACGAAGACTGTGCCTTGTTACTTCCATGCAACTGGAAATTGTAAAAGAGGAAATACAAATACAACCATTCAGGTTTAGTTCCAGGAGGAACGTTTTTTTAAGGAGGGGGCAATGTCATGAAATTCCTAAAGATTACCCTGTGTAAGCGCGACCTTCGAAGTTTGCCACTCGATTCATGATCGAAGTAACGCTGACGTGTGAAAACAGTCGGACCGCGTCTCGAATATACAAGAAACGACGAAATCTTCGAGAAACTGCCGTTGAGTCATAGATATGGAATTTTCGGGAGCGTCTACTAGAAACTACGAGTACAGAATTGGCTTGGTATAAATAGCCGACGTATCGGCGCACAGTTTAGTTTAGAGCATGGTAATAAAATAAATTAGAATTGTTAGTTAGTGTCTAAGTATTATATAAATTAAATATTACGTCTGAAATAAATTGTAAATAGTGTTTTAAATAAATAAACTATAAATAAATTAGACTTTCGTTACAACATATTATTCTTTTTATAAACTTCCTATGTTTTTCTTAACTATACCCCACACTTTATCTAGTTCTTCCAGGATTGCCTTTACCTTCACCACAGGTGAAACTAAAAGACAAGTCACAGTCCTTATGAATTATGGATGAGGAAGAAACCACGTATTAACCAGTTTGGAATAATATTAGTGAACTGTTTTCTTCATATTCTGGATAAAAAGAAAAAAGATGTACAAAAAGTCTATAAAAGATTATTTAGTAGAATTGTGATAAAAAAAATTGAATGAATGTCTTAAAATTTCGTAATTTTTAAATATTTCTATTAATAGCAATATTTTTTTAAATAAAATTATAATTCTATCTTAAACAGTTTATCCTACTTTCTGTAAATATGGATTTACTTTAAAGCGCTGATAACACAGAAAATATAGAACTAGGACAAAACATAAAGAAATAAATTTACATTTTTCCACGATATACTCATTGAAATCTACTCAATTTAATCAATAAACTTTATTTAAAACAAATAATTACTACATTCGCGCCCACCCTTCTTTAATTCCCTATTTTCACGTATCAGATCTTTTATAGGTCAACGTTCTTATTTCTCCAGAAAATACCTTCCGAAAACCAACCAAAACTCTAATAATTTTCCGCAACAATCACAAATCCACTAGCACTGCACTCACTCGGTGTTAGATTAGAGAAAATTGGAATGGGGTTTTGTTAGAAAAACTGTAGAATTTTAGAAAAATTAGGACTGCGTTGTTTTGATTTGGAATAATTTTCTTGCGTCTGGTGCCGGGTGGATCGATATCCAGACGGTGGAACAGCTGGACCATATTTTCACGCGCATGTAAGGCGGGTAATGACCTGGTTTGATTTTTTATCCAGACGCGGAAATATGAAAATTGATTATTTTTTGTGTTTGTAAATAAACAAAATCTTGATTTGGTTAGTTCATTTATGTTTTAAATCGTCTTCTAATAGTGCTGGTTATAAGGTAAGTCTAAAAAGGCGTAGGACATTAATTAACAGTTTTCAAAATTATGCGCAAGTGCTTAAAAATTTATCACTTTAAGTTCTAGTGCTGATATCCAGTGTTTTTGTTTTAAATAAGAATCGAAACTAAATTTTATTTTTTTAGGGCATTAAAAATAATTAAGATCAAGATTCCATAGAAAAAATTCAAGAACACCAGTTACAACGACAGAAGCGACTTGAAACACCTATTTGTGTATTAAGAGCGGAAAGTGCTACTTTGCCGCTTAAGATAAAAAGTTGCCACGCGACGCGCAGCGGAGTGCGGCATTTTATCGTAAGCGGCAAATAGCTTTCCGCTCGAATTACACACAAGATTTTTTCTACGATCACACGATATTAAAAGTATATAGTTCTATTGAGCCGAATTCAAATCTTACTACGTTAATTTGACTGACATGGCTAACTTAACTAGCAAATGAAAAGTATGTTGTGTATATTGTGTTGCCTGCTTATTCTAGGATTAATTTTATGATACGCATACAAAATATTTGTTAGTAAGTACATTTTAAAAATAACTTCCTATGGGGCCTTCGTATTGCATTCGTACAGACGAAAAACAAATTCTTACCCCCACTTTTTAAGATTTTTTCTACGTTTCCGATCATTTCGAGTCCGAAAAAGCAAAAAAAATGTTTTCCTCTGGTCGTCTGTGCGTATGTGTGCCGGCACGATAACTCTAGAAAGAAAGATCCCATTGACCTCTGATGTTAATTTTCTTGAATAATTCCTTCATCTTAGAAACCCTATTAAATTTCAGAATTTTTGGTTTAACCTAACTACTTTAGTATCAATGTTCTTAAAAAACCAGAATAGTGCTTGGCCATGCCTCTCAATTGTGAAACCACAGATATTTTTTCTTTATTGATATCACTCTTAAATGTCAAATTATTTAAAAATGTTTGAATGTCAATTAAAAGATTGACAAATAAGTATAGGTATGCCTATTTTGATAGATATTTATTTTTAATAATTTTTAACATAGTTTAAAAATAATTACACAAGTCATAATATAATGTTTTTTCTGGTTAATCGGAAGGTATTGTAACGATTTTTAATTGAAACAGTTTATTATAATTTATTTATAACGTATTAATGTATTTAATACTTAGACACTATTCTAACTTCTAATTAATTTATTTTACAATTTATCTTTACTATACAACATTTATATTAAAATTTAACATCTACCAACAAAGTCGCGTTATTTATATAAAGCCAGCTCTGCTCGATTAGATTCTCAGCGGTACAGAATATCTGGTATTTCTTCCTCTACAAGTATACAGAGGATAGTTCCTCCTGGAATTGTTACTAAAACTGCATGGTTGTATCTGTAACTGGACCTTCTTATACAATTTCCATTTGCATGGAAATAACAATGACTGCAGACCAGTATTTGAACCTCAGTATGTTGGAAAATTACTTCCATCATGTTTCTAATAATCCTCCAATTTAGCTGGTTGCTCTCTATTTTTGGCATGGCTATCTGTACATTGGACTTCAGTACGTGCTCCCTCAGACTAAGTAATGCTTTTCATACATCATGATGTGTCAAGTGGATCTATCTCGGAAAGTGTTCTTTGTTACCAAATAGAAAAGGTAACACGACCTTGAAGTTCTGGCAAACGACCAAACTTCTTTCGGAACACGAATGCCAGATCTCGAGCGTCATTGATGCTAGCGGAAATGCTAAAGACCAACGAGTAGTCTTTAGGAAGCGTGAGCAGATCTTTTTGTAGCACCACCATATCTTGCTTTCCCGTTACCTCCATATACACAAATACATTCTTCAAAGACAAGATCAGGTGTTTCATGGAACTGTTTTATTTCTTCTTCCTCGCCATGGTCACCCTCAAATGGTGCCAGCCGGTTTTGGTGCACTATCTTCGGTTTACCATTCGGGATCTTACTTATACTATAAATGACATCATGTTTTTTTTTTTGATGAGGTACGGACCTTTCCAAAACCTGTGAAGCTTCGGAGAATAATCTTTTTGGGTTATGGAATCAGACTTTGTCGCCTTCCTTGAAACATCCTTCTGTGGCTTGGGTATGGTATCAATTCTTCATTCTGTCACTGGAAATTTGAAGATGCGAGCGAACTAACTCATTCATGTCGTCCATTTTTCTTCGTAGCTGGATCACATAATCTTCACCGGCTATGTCTTCTCCATGTCAGCATCCAAACTCGAGGTCCAAACTCATCTCACGGCAGAACAGAACCTTTCTAGTGTTTGGCCTGTAGATTCATTGACAGCGGTTCAATATGCCATTGCGACGAGCGAAAGATACTGATCCCAATTTTGTTGATGGTTGGAAACCTCTTTTAACAGGTACTTTCCAATTGTCTTATTTATTTGCTCTACCATTCCATCCGACTATGGGTACCATAGTTCTGGTGTTCTTCATGCCTAGTCTGTCACAGATTCCTCGGAAAAACTAGCTTTCAAAATTTCTGCCTCGGTCACTGTGTATTTCCAAGGGCACTCCAAATCCACTAATAAATTATTTTATTAACACGTCTGGAACAGTTGTGGCTTCATGATTTGGTATGGCGTGAAGTAATCCATAACCATCATCATGTATTTATTACCATCCTCTGTCATGGGCATTACTTATAGCACATTTCTTACACCAGTCCTTTACATCATCAGAACTGTTCATCCAATAAAACCTTTCACGAACTCTCTGAAGGGGTTTCTTAACACCGAGATGTCCTCCTGATAAGACTGTGGTGTAACTGACGAAGTACTTCGACTATTCTAGCCTTCTTCCAAGATAAAAGAGTCCCACTGAACCAAATTTGACTTTACTACTGGAGAGAGATTTGACACTTTTTGCTAAGTAGGTCGACGTTTTTCCTTATTCCATTGTCGGATTTTCTTTAAAACGTGATCGTTTTCTTGTTCTTCCTTAAGTTTGGTAGGGGCCCACTCATCGTTGACTACAGTTGTTTTTAGTACTCCACTTTCTTTGGAGTATGCTTTGTTGCAAAGAGATTACTCTGCTGGGTACGGTCTTCTAGAAAGAGAATCGACATTTATTCGGCTCTATGTTCGATCCTAAAGTCGTACTCTTGAAGTCGTTCGATCCATCTGGTGATTTGGCCCTCCAAGTTCTTGATCTGCCACAGCCACTTAAGAGCTGCATGGTTAGTCTGGAATTAAAAATTTTCTTCCATATAGGTATTAGTAGAAGTGTTCCACGCATTTCACAACTGCTAGGAGTTCTCTTCTCGTGACGCAGTAATTTCGCTCAGGTTTCAAGAGCACCTTACTAAAATAACCCAGTACTCTTTCTTTTCCCCTGAATATGTGACAGTACTCCTACAATTTTCACATTACTGGCATTAAGGCAGTTTGGCTGTCTTCGTCCCAGCAGAATTCTCTTGCTTCTTCTGTGAGTCGTGTTAATGGCTTAGCAACTTCCTTATGAATCTTCGGTAGCACGTACAGAGCCCAAGAAAAGTTTTTATTTGATGTTTATCAGTTGGTTGATCATTGTTTAATGGAAGCGACCTTCTTATCTACAGCCACGCCATCCTTGCTGACTATATGACCTAGGTAATTAACCTTATTTTGGGGTTTAGCATCAGTTGAGCAGCTTGAAGTCTTTTAAAAAGATCTTCTTAAGTTATTTAGATGTTCATCAAATGTCTTCCCCAAGACTATGATGTCTAAATACACCAGGTATATTTTCCAGGATAACCCTTTCAATATATTTTCCATAAGTCTTTCAAATGTCGCGGAGGCATTACATAGTCCAAATGGCATGAGCAGTGGACAAGACATTGACCAATGTTTTGTGACGGGCTAAGGAAGTGTTTTCTGCATCTCGTGGTTACGGAGTCCATGAACAAATATTTGGACTGCCAAACATTCCATCATGTTTTCTGGAGCTGATGGGTAAGCTAACCGTATCAACCTGGCAATATCTACTTCGTATTTTTGAAGAGTCTCGTCTCGTTTCTCGATTCTCGATTCTTTAGCTGATTGATACAAATGTTCCAAGTGTTCGTGGACATATCACATATTTAGTCTTTTTTTGAGTCGTTTAAAATCTAAGTCCCTTCCACAGGTATAGTCCGAAGGACACCTAAAGCATCTCCTTGCAGGACGATGGTCAAATTTACTGCCTTCTCTCGTTCCGGCCATTCGTTTGCTCTGGCTTTCGAACTGTTTAAGATAATTGGTCCATGTTAGCTTCCCGTCGAAAGTTGGGGCTTTAACACGAGCAGAGTTTACAACTTCTTCCAATTTCAACTTTGAATCCCCTCATGGCACTTTAATTCACCGTCCTTGGCCTGATCTACGTGTTCTATTTCTTCAATCTTCTTTTCCATTTCTTTTATTTCCTCCTCGACGGAAGATATATTATTTTTTACATCAGCCGAAATTGCACTTTTTATAGACATATAAAAAATAATTGTCAACATTTTTATTTTTAAAACGTATTTACAAAAAAGCTTGACTTTCAAATGTCTTGAAAACCGTCCCCATTGGTATTTTTTATGTAAATAAGTATGTATATAGTTTTTAAATTGTGCACACGATGTTAAAGAAATGAACCCTTACAAATACTACCCTTTCCAATTGGACCATTCATTTTTCACAACTACCAGATGTTTTAGGGACAAAATTGATAAAAGTGTGGACTTTTTTATTTATTTTTTTCCAATGTTTACTACTATTACTAGGGTTGGGCAAAATAATCGATTTTAATCGATTATTTTCCATTGATCGACTTTT